CCACGAAGACTTTCAGACAAGTAGGATACTTTGCCATCTGACTATACTCTTGTATAATGAACAAATTCTTCTATATAAAGTTTCACTGTATAAAGACCCATCTTGATTTCAGATAAGAAAGTTTTATTGATCTTGCAACTATCAATTCTGCTCTGTTCCTCCATAAGCAAGTACCCAACCAATCATAGTAAATTTACATTAAGCTTAAAGGCTATTGGTATGAGTAAAAAAATTTCATCTCGTTAATATTTAGGTCAGGTTAATATTTAGGTTAGGTTAATATTTAGGTCACCTTAAAAAGCCAAGCACATAGCAAGCACTCAATAAATGCCTGATCGATTGCATTTTTAATCTTTTATCTTTTTTTTTTTTTTTTTTTTTTTGAGACAGAGTCTTAACTGTCTCCCTCTGTCACCCAGGCTGAAGTGCAGTGGTGTGATCTCAGCTCACTGCAACCTCCGCCTCCCAGGGTCAAGCAGTTCTCGTCCCTCAGCCTCCTGAGTAGCGGGTACTACAGGTGTGTGCCACCATGTTGGCCAGGCTGGTCTTGAACTCCTGGCCTCGAGTGATCCACCCACCTCGGTCTCCCAAAGTGCTAGGATTACAGGCGTGAGCCACCGTGTCTGGCCTAGTCCTTTATCATATACTCTAATTAATTACAATTGGCCACTTTTCAACTAAACCTTTCCTCCCAAAAAGGACTGCCCATCACACTTACAAAGCCATGTAAATGACATCCATGGAACAAGCTAGAATTGATTTCTTATTTCATAGAGGAAAGAATTCCATCCACTGACTTAATTATCTGTAGTGCTTAAGATGTGATGTGCTTAACAGTGTTTAGTGAGAGAAAGATTCTCTGTTCCTTGGTCCTGTTTCTTGGCCTTTTCTCCATCTGCTGCTCATTTTTATAGCCAGCTTCCGGGTGCATGCCATATTTTCTCCATTCCGATGGAAAGATGAATGTATATTTTAAAATTGAATGAAAACTACAAAATCCTGGCTGTGTTTTATTATCCCCATCTTTGTTTGTCAATTTGAAGAAATTGAAGGGAGGTAACGATTCTAAGACCCCGTAGTACAGAAATATTCTGCAAAAAGCAGTAGTATTTGAAGGATCATTTTTAAAAGTTTAATATCAGTATTTTAAATGTAAGAAATTTGTTCTACCTCATCAATTCTAACTTTAAAAGAATTCCTATAAATTATTAAAAAGATGCCAAATTCATTCTGATGATAAACACTTAAGAGTAGAGATTGTTTTAATTCTGTGTACTTAAAATCATTTTCTATGTGCTGAAACTACTTGTTTTGTGTCAGAATTTTCTATTGCATTTCAGTTTTTAGCATCTCTTCTAGAACCTTTAGAGTGTCAGATGGTACATCCTAGTGTTTCTGTTAGGATGCAGATAAGTTGTAGTCTTGCAAGATTCAACTGAAAATGAAAATACTGGGCCAGGTGTGGTGGCAGGCGTCTGTAATCTCAGCTACTCCGAAGCAGGAGGATCGCTTGAATCTAGGAGTTCGAGGCTGCAGTGCGCTATGATCACACTTAAGAATAGCCACTGCATTTCAGCCTAGGCAACATAACAAGACCCCATCCCTATTAAATAAATATAAAAATGGAAATACTCGGTTTTTTCATTTTTTGGGTAAGCAAGTGTTCTTCCATTTCTTTCTAAGATTTTGAAATGTGATGCTTGCAAGTCGTTTGCCTTCTCCATGAAAATACTCACTAGACATTTCTGCTGCCTTTAAGAGGAATTTAAAATTCTTTACAAAAATCAATTAACTATGCTTACCACAATCTTAGTATTTATCCTTAGTTTTGACTTAAACAATTTGTAATACGTATTGCCTCCTCAAAGAGATGGAGGTCTAGAGATAAACAAATTCTAGGTGAGTTTATTATTTACCTACAGTAAATTAGTATTTTTATAGCTAATTGGGCTTTAGCAACACATAAGTTATTTTAGCTTCCCAAAACCTTGATAATTTTATTAGCTATGTTAATGTCTCTGATTTAATTTTGTCCTTTCAATTTGTAAAACTCCTTCTCCCAATATATATTATTGTCTTTCGTGTAATTAAAGTTAATATTGTAGTTAGCAATTGCCAGCGATAACTGATTAGGGCTAACTCCCCTGTTATTGGTAACTATTTACATAATATATTGCTCAGCATAGAGCTTCTAATTTAAAATGATTTCTAGGTTGTATATCCTTTTGTTATTAATCCATCTTACTGCATTTTCTTAGAATAAAGAGTATCAAGGGAACTGATTCCATACTATTTTTAGTCAGAAAATTAATACATTTCATAATTAATGTTGTAATATCCACGTTGAGGCCAAACAATGTAAAATTGATGGTTAACTATTTGCATTTTATACTGTAAGCTTTTCTCTTGAACTGTCTCATGCTTTCTACAGTTATGACTTAAAATATTTACATTTCTGTCTCTGAGCATAATGTATCTGTATGAAAATTACAACTGCTACAAGCTGTCAACCTGACTATCAGCAGTGTCAGGTGAGCTTATGGCAGAAGCAAAAGATTAGAATTTGAAGCAAAAGATTAGAATTTGAGTTGATTTGGAAAAATAAGATTGACCTATGCAATATAAAATGTTTCTTGTACTGAAGAGTGAAGGGCATGGGGAAATCCTCCTTGTTACCTGGTGTCATAACCTCTTTTGTGCCTGTAGATAATACAGTTGGCCCTTGAACAGTTTGGGATTAGGGTTATCAAAAGTATAAATTAGGGCTTCCCAAAAACTTAGCTACTTGACCAGAAGCCTTATTGATAACAAACAGTCAGTTAACACATACTTTTTTTTTTTTTTTTTTTTTTTTTGAGGCGGAGTCTCGCTCTGTCACCCAGGCTGGAGTGCAGTGGCTCACTGCAAGCTCACAAGCTCTCGGCTCACTGCAAGCTCCGCCTCCCGGGTTCCCGCCATTCTCCTGCCTCAGCCTCCCGAGTAGCTGGGACTACAGGCGCCGCCACCACGCCCGGCTAATTTTTTTGTATTTTTAGTGGAGACGGGGTTTCATTGTGTTAGCCAGGATGGTCTCGATCTCCTGACCTCGTGATCCGCCCATCTCGGCCTCCCAAAGTGCTGGGATTACAGGCTTGAGCCACCGCGCCCGGCCAACACATACTTTTTTATGCCTTCAGAGTTTTATACAATAAGATAAGCTAGAGAATGGAAGACATTATTAAGAAAATTGTAAAGGCTGGGTGCAGTGGCTCACGCCTGTAATCCCAGCACTTTGGGAGGCCAAGACAGGCGGATCACTTGACGTCAGGAGTTCAAGACCAGCCTGGCCAATATGGTGAAACCCTGTCTCTACTAAAAATTCAAAAATTATCCGGGCATGTTGTTGCATGCCTGTAGTCCCAGCTACTCGGGAGACTGAGGCATGAGAATCTCTTGAACCCGGGAGGCAGTAGTTGCAGTGAGCCAAGATTGTGCCACTGCACTCCAGCCTGGGCAACAGAGCAAGACTCTGTCTCCAAAAAAAAAAAAAAAATACACACACACACATATATATGTATATATGTAAGGAAGAGAAAGTATATTTACTATTCATTAGGTGGAAGTAGATCATCATAAAGGTCTTCATCCTCATCGTCACCATGTTGAGGAAGAGGCTGAGGAGGAAGGGGGGGCCTTGGTCTTGCTATCTCTGGGGTGGTGGAGGTGGAAGAAAATTTGTGTATAAGTGGATCCCTAAAGTTCACACCCATGTTGTCAAGTGTCACCTGTGATGCCACAGGCTTCTATATGCGTCTCTAACCTGTTTCCACAAGAGACCAATTCCTGAGGATGCTGTTGCAACAGGACTTGGCAGAGGAATGAAAGGGTTCCTGAAAAACCCTCCCAGAGTACCTATAGGAACTACTTTGATCCGTAATTCAAGTCTCATCTGCCTTCTAAGACAGAAACCTCAGATCTCCCTCGCTTGTGGGTGGTACCATGGGAACCATCTGCATTTTCCAGTTATGACTTCACCTTTATGTGTTTAATCTGCCGTCTTCTCATTTCTTTGCCCAGATAAGGTGATCTGTGTCTATGATGGTCAAAAGATAAACAAGAATAATATTTCAGTATATATTTGCAACTCACAAATTTTTCTTAGAATGATTTCTTTTATGTCATTACATATAATACAATAAGTAAACAAGCTTTTAACCATAGTTTTAAACTATTCTTCTAAACCCTACTGTGTTGCAAATGCTGACAATTGAATAGGCTTTAATGTTTAATGGACTTTTAAAGTTGTAAATGGGTAGAGGTCAGGAGTTAGAAAATGGCAATTTTTTATTTTTTCATTTTTTGAGACAGATTCTCGCTCTGTTGCCTAGGCTAGAGTGCAGTGGCACAATCTTGGCTCACTCCAACCTCTGCCTCCCGGGTTGCCAAAGTATAACTTAGGACTTCACAAAACATAACTACTTGGTTCCTGGGTTCAAGAGATTCTCCTGCCTCAGCCTCCCCAGTAGCTGGCATTACAAGTGTGTGCCACCACACCCAGCTAAATTTTTGTATTTTTAGTAGTGACTGGGTTTCACCATGTTGGCCAGGCTGGTCTTAAACTCCTGACCTCAAGTAATCCACCCACCTCCCAAAGTGCTGGAATTACAGGCATGAGCCACAGCATCTGACCAGTTTTAAGAAGCTAAACAAGCCATTTGCAGTGACACGCCCCAGTAGTCCCAGCTACTCAGGAGGATTGAGTGAGCCCAGGAGTTGAGGCCAGCCTGGGCAACACAGTGAGTCACCGTCTCTAAACAAAAATAAATAAATAAAAAGTTTAAAATACAAAGCTAAACAAATCGGATTACATGTAATACATTTGCCTCCTTTAAGTTTTCTACTAAGGGCTATTCTAAGGATAGATTATCTTGAAATTATTTTGAAATTGAAAACTGAATTATATTTTTACTTTTCTCTGATGCACTTTCATTATTTTCTCTACCCCTTGGAACCTTTTTCAGTTTCATCAGGCTGGGGAGAAATGCCTCATGTTCACTCAAAGACTGAAAACTCTTGGGGAGAACCATCCTCCCCTTCTCCCCTGGTGGATAATGGCACAGCAGCATGGGGGAAGCCACCCAGCAGTGGTAGCGGGTGGGGAGATCACCCTGCCGAACCGCCAGTGGCGTTTGGAAGAGCTGGCGCACCTGGTGCTGCCTCAGCCCTGTGCAAACCAGGTAAGCCTAGCGTCGTGCTTGCCCTGATCTGGCAATTTAGAAATGACTCAAAGTATTGAATTTTAAAAATTAGAGTTTTAGGATACTTTCCTCATTATATTTACGCTTTTACTACAAACCAAGAATCTTGGCCAAGCACAGTGCCTCACACCTGTAATCCCAGCACTTTGGGAGGCCAAGGCAGGAGGATCTCTTGAGCCCAGGAGTTCGAGACCAGCCTGGGCAGCATAGTGAGACCTTATCACTACAAAAAAAAATGGAAAAATTAGCCGGGCATGGTGGCACACGCCTGTAATCCCAGCTACTCGGGAGGCTATGGTGGGAGGATTGCTTGAGCCCGGGAGGTTAAGACTGTAGTGAGTCATGATTGTACCACTGCATCCAGCCTGGGCAATAGAGCAAGACCCCATCTCTTAAGAAAAAAAAAAGCCAAGATTAATTTTTTAAAATATTTGCCATGCCTGATACGTGAACACAAAGGCGGTTTTAAGAGATGTCCATGCCCTCCTTTTATAATAATACAAATAAATGCAAGAATCAAAGCAACCAGCATATTATGTTTGATTCTCCTGGTAATGCCCACACTACTTCAGCAGTATTCTTGTACCTGCCACATTAAGTAATTTAAACCTGCTATTTCACTGAGCAAGAAAGATAAAGCATGTCATCTTCTTGAGATAAGTTTTTGAAAATACGTTTTACCTCACAGCAGCCTAACGTATCTTGCCATCTTGCCCTGCTTTCATCTTGTCAACAGAATTCCACTTTGGGTGGAATTCGCCATGTTTGTTTTCAAGTTATTTATCCCTAAACAACTTGAAAAAATAAAAAAATTGTACATTTTCCTCCCATTTTGTGAAAGTGTAGCAAATTTGCAGGTAATAAATATCCTTGTAAATGTCCAGATTATGTATACCACGTGGAATTCTTATAATATATGGGTGTTTTGCAATGTGATATTTGTAATATTAACATGAATATAAGATTACTGATTTAAATCTGATATTAAAATTAATTCTGGCTGGGCATGGTGGCTCATACCTATAATCTCAGCACTTTGGGAGGCCGAGGTGGGTGGATCACCTGAGGTCAGGAGTTCGAAACCAGCCTGGCCAACAAGGTGAAACCCCGTCTCTACTAAAAATACAAAACTTAGCTGGACATGGTGACGGGCACCTCTAATCCCAGCTACTCAGGAGGCTGAGGCAGGAGAATCACTTGAACCCGGGAGGCGGAGGTTGCAGTGAGGCAAGATCAGGCCACTGCACTCTAGCCTGGAAGACAGAGATTCCATCTCAAAAAAAAAAAAAAAAAAAAACTAATTGTTCACATAACTGCAGAAACTTCATCTTTTTTGTTTTTGTTTTTGTTTGAGATGGAGTTTGGCTCTGTTGCCCAGGCTGGAGTGCAGTGGCACGATCTCAGCTCACTGCAAGCTCCACCTCCTGGGTTCACGCCATTCTCCTGCCTCAGCCTCCCGAGTAGCTAGGACTACAGGCGCCCGCCGCCTCGCCCGGCTAGTTTTTTGTGTTTTTAGTAGAAACGGGATTTCACCATGATAGCCAGGGTTGTCTCAATCTCCTGACCTCGTGATCCAACCGCCTCAGCCTCCCAAAGTGCTGGGATTACAGGCGTGAGCCACCGCGCCCGGCCAGAAGCAAAGTGCTGGGATTACAGGCGTGAGCCACCGCGCCCGGCCAGAAGCTTCATCTTTTCTTTGGACATTATTAGATGTCCTAGATATTAAAATGCAACTTTATTGCTTTTATATTTTGTTTTTTTGCTAATGCTCGCTAGTGTGTTCCATATAGCCACCACTCTGCTCAAAGTATTTATTCCATTTATATTACTTTTTGTTACAAACCTAAAGGATAGGGGAATTTCTGAGTATTTAGATTCATGTGCCATTTTGAGGCAGTGTATTCCATCTTGAGAATTTTTCCTTGGAGGCACAGTTATGTGCCTATTCTGTATGTTTATCAGCATTATATCTTCATTAAAGACCCAGCTAATTGCGCTATTACCTAGTCTTTGCCCTTCTGCATATTCTTCCAAGAAGTGAAAATTTGGGGTAATTTTGATACCGAAAATCACTTTGTATTTTAAGAAAGGAGGGAAAAACAATATCTGAAGTGGAAACTCAATAGTCACTTTGTAGCTCCATCTGCCTAAGACCTCCATCCTGCTAGTCTATAAGCGTCTCCTATGGGCTTGTTAGAAATGCAGCCTGTCGAGCCCGACCTCCGGCCTGCCACACTGCACGTGATCCAGCTGACTGTCATGAGTGGGCAGGTTTGAGAAGCTCTGCTCTGTGTCACTGAATCCTCACAGGTTTGGATCGAGCAGTGATTAAGAATCAGACAGAGGTGGTCATTTCAGCAGCACACGTACTGAAACTGGAACAATACAGAGAAGACTAGTGTGGCTCCTATGCACAGATGAGATACAGATTTATGAAGCATCCCGTTACAGATTTTCCTGCCACTTGTGATGGCTCATGCCTGTAATCCCAACACTTGGGATGCTGAGGCAGGAGGACCGCTTGAGCCCAAGAGTTTGAGACCAGCCTGGGCAACATAGTGAGACACCATCTCTATTAAAAAGAAAAATTTTGCTGGATGTGGTGGCACATGCCTATAGTCCTAGCTACTCAAGAGGCTGAGGCAGGAGGATCACTAGAGCCCAGGAGTTCGAGGTTGCAGTGAGCTATGATTGCACTACTGTACTGTAGTCTGGGCAACAGAGCAAGACCCTGTTTCAAAAAAAGAAAAAATGTACAAATTTTAAAAACCACACAGGACAACGAAATGTTTTAGGAATCTACATTTCTGTAGCCTTTTCATACCATGTAGAGATTGCCACCTTCCCTGGTGGCCCCAGGATTTGTTCTTAGCATGTTTGTGTTTCAGAATGATCTATAGTTGGTTAAGAAAGTTTAGAACAGCACAGAGTACAAATAGCTGGTGTTTGAAGGAAAAATTATATACATATACATGTTTATTTACATATGTAGCAGAAGAAATTCAATTCTGAGATCTGGGAGAAATGAAGGCATAAAAAGGTAGATTGCAGTGCATCATTTGTCCCGCCTCCCCTAAATTATTTGTTATAGTGGAAGCATCGTCCGCGTTAGGAACGTGAATTTGATAAGTTCATGTTTGCTCTATTTCTAGCTTCAAAATCTATGCAAGAAGGCTGGGGCAGTGGTGGGGATGAAATGAACCTCAGTACCAGCCAGTGGGAGGATGAAGAAGGGGACGTGTGGAATAATGCTGCTTCCCAAGAAAGCACCTCCTCCTGCAGCTCCTGGGGGAATGCCCCCAAAAAAGGACTTCAAAAGGTAATGCGTACAACATTCTTAAAGATGGTATACCCTGAAAACCAAAGGTACTTCAAACACATTCAGTATCCAGTTAATCAGATGAAAAGATAGACCTGAGGTTCTCAAAGTAGTCTTAGGACCCTTGGAGGTCCCAGAGACCCTTTCAGGGGAGTAAGCAAGGTCACAACTATTATCATGCCAGTACTAAGACTGTCTTATTCATTTGAAATCTCTCTCCAGCATAGGGTAGAGGTGTCCAGAGATCTTTATTATAGCAGAGAATGTGCAGAAACAGACATGAAAATCCAGCCATTTATCTTAAACCAGACATAGAGATTTGCCAAAAGGCAAAACAATGCCACCCTTCTCATGAAAAATTAATTACTTTTTATTTTAAAATGTTAGGTTAATGTGTAATGACTTTGTTATTTTTAAACAAAATATTTTTAAATTTTCTCAGTTTTAATTTCTAATACAGTAAATAGCAAAAGACACAAATCATATAAACAAAAGTTCTTTGGGATCTTCAGTCTCTAAGAGAGTTTTATAGGGTCCTAAGACCAAAAAGTTTGAGACAGATGGTTAAGAAGTCTTAAAACAGATGGGCAGGCCGGGCACAGTGGCTCACGCCTGTAATCCCAGCACTTTGGGAGGCCAAAGTGGGTGGATCACTTGAGGTCAGGAGTTCGAGTCCAGCCTGGCTAACATGGTTAAACCCCATCTCTACTAAAAATACAAAAATTAGCTGGGCGTGGTGGTGGGCGCCGGTAATCCCAGCTACTCAGGAGGCTGAGGCAAGAGAATTGCTTAAACCCGGGAGGCGGAGGTTACAGTTGCAGTGAGCCAAGAACGCTTCACTGTACTCCAACCTGGGCGACACAGCGAGACTCCTTCTCAAAAAAAAAAAAGACACAAATGGGCAGTCATCTAGAAAAAATTGAGATACACATCTCATATATATGTGAGATACATGAGACGTGTATCTCTTTTTTTTCTGGATGACTGCCCATTTCAGTCCACATTCAGCATGACTGAATTTCAAGTAGGTCACAAATTGAAATATTAAAAATATAAAAATGTGAAAGAACATTAAAAACAATTTTGGAGTCAGAGAGGCCTATCTAACTATGACCAAAATCTAAAAGGCATAAAGGAAAATCTTTTGCGTCAATAGATAAATATAAAAACCGTACATGACAGAAAATACCATAATCAAAGTCAAAAGAAAAATAGCAAACTGGAAAAATATGTTTATAACTCATATCATAGAGAGGGCTGATCTCCCTGATACGTAAAGTCCTAGAAACTGATTAAAAAAAAAAAAAAAATTCAGCCAGAAAAAAAAAAAATCACAGAATGTGAAGAGTAGCTGGTCCACAGAGAAGGAGCACCAGTGGTCCTAGACACAGACTCACAGGAAGGCAGTGCAGTTCCAGACAGCACTCAGAGATGCCTGCCATTTTTCATCTCTCAGACCTGCAGAAAGCCAACATTTTGATTTTTTTATTTAAAAAAATTTTTTTAGGGACAGAGTCTTGCTGTGTCACCTAGGCTGGAGTACAGCCTTGAACTCCTGGGCTCGAACTGTCCTCCTGCCTCATCCTTCTGAGTAGTTGGGTCTACATGTGCATGCCACTCTGCCCAACTAATTTTATTCTTTATTTTTTCTGTAGAAACAAGAGTCTCACTTTGTGGCATTTATACAGTTTTGTATTGCAGCATTTTTGTAGTAAAAAGATAAAAATGGTTTAAATGTACTTTGGTGGAGTAACAAGTTAATTGTCATTTCTACATTATGCAAAACTATTTAAAAGGAAATTCTATATATGTATTGATATGAAAGGATCACTAAAGTACATTGTTAAATGAAAAGCAAGGTGCAGAAAAACATGTACAGCGCACACCCTATTTTGTGAGGTAGGAGGAAGAAAACCGTGCGTGTGTGTATTTGTGTGTGTGCATGCATGCACACATAGTGTATTAGCTTCTACAGAATGTTCTAAATTCTCTGGAAGGGCAAATAAGAAACTGCTATGAGTAGTCTCTTCTTGGAGAGAACAGGAACTAAGCAGATGGGGCGGCATGAGATGAAAACTTTCTTTATACCTTGTTTATGCTTTTGAATCGTGTGAAGGTATTCATGTTCAAAAAAATGTAGTTTAAAAAAGCATTCAGTTAATAATCAGCAGAAACCAGAAACTAAAATCAGAGCTTTCCGCTCATGAGTAGTAGAAGTGATTACAGACATCAGAAAGAACCTTTTTTACAGTTGGGCTGGCAAATAATCCATTTAACGATGGGACCAAAAATACCAAATTGGTAAATTAAAATATTGGCTGATCTGGCTCTGGCCGCATAGTAATGATTAAAATAGCCCCCAAATAAGCTAGTTCCTTGAGGAAAGAAAGCCTGTTTGTAGAGCTCCATGTGCTCCATGGTATAACTGTGGCAGGCTCAATTGTGAAAAACACTATGAAGAATATTTTTAGAAGGGGATTTTTTTCATATTATGATAATGCATCATCAGAACCTTTGCATTTATAGGCTCAGAGGGAATGTTTTGTTTTGTTTTGTTTTTGAGACGGAGTTTCGCTCTGTTGCCCAGGCTGGATCGCAGTGGCGTGATTTTGGCTCACTGCAAGCTCTACCTCCCAGGTTCACGCCATTCTCCTGCCTCAGCCTCCCGAATAGCTGGGACTACAGGTGCCTGCCACCACGCCCGGCTAATATTTTGTGTTTTTAGTAAAGACGGGGTTTCACCGTGTTAGCCAGGATGGTCTTCATCTCCTGACCTCATGATCCACCCATCTTGGCCTCCCAAAGTGCTGGGATTACAGGTGTGAGCCACCGTGCCCGGCCAGAGGGAAGTTACTGAGAAGCCTCCTGGCTCCTCTGTGGTGCCATGCCCTCCCCCCGACACTGCTCTTTCTGTAGCTGACCTTTTTCCTCATCCTCTCCTTCACTGACATTTTCCTCCTTACTCGTTTTCTCTACCCTGTGAGCTATACGTAACAAATAGTTAATAAAACTAACAGGTTTTTTCTCTCTTTCTTCTTGCTGCCTATTTATTCATTGGAATAAACCCCCCTCATTTTATCATTTTTCAGAATAAAGCTCAGAAAAGGGCAAAAACTGTGTAAATAATTTTTAGTAAACTTCACACAGGGCTATGTTCAAGGGAGCACTTAGAATTATTGGATAGTAAAAATAATATATATTTGTGATGAACTAAATTATCTGGGAAAGAGAAATAATTATCTTGCTTTTTTTAAGTTCATAAATTGCACACATATACCAACCTGCAAATGTACCTTGATGCTTTCCATAGTAGTAGCCATGAAATACTGTTAGTGAGTTTCTGGAATACAGCATTATTCAACGTTAATACAAAAAGATCCTGTGACTTTTAAATGACCCTGAATTTAGGCTGTCTCCTATTTCTGGAAGAAATGCATTAAAATATAGCTCATGGACTTTCCCCTTTCCCACACTTTGTTCCAGGGCATGAAGACATCTGGCAAGCAGGATGAGGCCTGGATCATGAGCCGGCTGATCAAACAACTCACAGACATGGGCTTCCCGGTAACTGCTGTCATATTTTACTGCTACCTACCATGCTTCCCGAAATGAAATGCGCTGATTGTTTCCTCTCCATGTTTGCTCTATGTGTCAGAAGGCACCAGGATTATTTGAGGAATGAGATATTGACATCATCTAACTCTTGAATCTCCTTTTTACCTGGGTAGTTTGGGTTAGGGATCATTGCTTTGAACTACAGCAAAGACCCACATAATTTCTGTCAAAAAGGGTGTGAGAGCCTTTTCCTAGAAAAGAAAATGCTGTTTTTTTGTTTTGTTTGTTTGTTTGTTTGTTTGGAGACAGGGTCTTGCTCTGGCACCTAGGCTGGAGTGCAGTGGTGTGATCAAGCAATCCTCCTGTCTCAGCCTTCCGAGTAGCTGGGACTACAGGCGTGAGCCACCATGCTCGGCTAATTTTTGTATTTTTGGTGGAGATGAGGTTTCACCATGTTGGCCAGGCTGGTCTCGAACTCCTGGGCTCAAGCAATCTGCATGCCTCGGCCTCCCAAAGTGCTGGGATTACTGGCATGAGTCACTACGCCCAGCCAGAAAATGCTGTGTGATTTTTAATTTTCATTGGTTTTATACAGTTTTATGTTTACTTTTAATTCATAATTAAAAGTGAATTTCATTAGTGTATAGAGTATATTGACAAAGATCACAAAAGAAAACTTGGTATAAAGTACTAAAGTTTCATATCCAGAAAAAGTATCCTAACCAGACCTGCTTAGTTCCTAAGTTTCCAGTCATATGTAGGGAGAATTCATATTGCAGAGCGTTCCCCTGAAAATACCACAGTCTGTTCAGTTCCTGAGATTGGATGGCAGTTCAGATGACAAGGAATGTTGCCCATATTCGCCATGTATTCCCTTCATGTGCCTTTTTTCAAAATCCTTATTCAAATGAATGTTTATATTTTAATTACTGTAGATGCCTTTTAAAAAATGAGTCCAGAATGGCCTCCATGTAGAGGAAGAACCCCATCCTTCACATTGGGCACAGGCCCTCTGCATTGGGCAGGGCATTGTGTTGGTGGCCCAGGCTCTGCCTGTGTGAGTGGGCAAGAGGTTGACCGTGGCCGCAGCGTGTCCTGATTTATACTGTCTGAGTTATCATGGCACCCTAGCGGCTTCTATCATCCCCTGAGATTACTGTGTTCCAGTCATAAATTATCAAAATGAATCTACTTGTTTTGTTTTTCTGTTTCTTAGAGAAAAGTTGTTGATGATAGAGCCTAGAGTTGATGAAGTGAGAAGTGAAGCTCTGCACTCCAACAGTGACTGACATAGTTGCTGGGACTAGAGAGAGGCATGGAGATGGGCCCATGACAGGAATCCTGTCCTAGGAGAGCATCCTGTCCTCATGGCAGGTGTCCTTGTCTGTGGCCCTGCTGTCTTGGCATAGATTGCATCTTTATGGAATCAGTGCTACTCAGTGTTGTACAGAATGATTTTAGGACCAGACACGGTGGCTCACGCCTGTAATCTCGACACTTTGGGAGCCCGAGGCAGGAGGAGGACCACTTGAGCCCAGGAGTTTGAGACCATCCAGGACAACATGGAGAGAACCTATCTCTACAAAAATAATACTAATAGTTACATTTTTAAAAAATGAAAATGATTTTAGGAGTACTTACAGGGTTTTACTGTCACTCTGCATTTTGTTTCCAAAGTGTTAAATACACATGCTTTACTTTGAAAATCAAGTCAATACATTTTCTTATTACAAGTATTTTTAATTCAAAAGACATTGTCTCTAACTTCAACAGTGAAGAAATGTATTTCCAGTTCCAAAACCTAATAACTATGTCTTTAAGTTGATAGTAATTAAACTATTTGTAAGCTTTCCTTCTGTTAATTAATGTGCATTAATGAAAACTCTGTTTTCCTACTCAGAGAGAGCCAGCCGAGGAGGCCTTGAAGAGTAACAATATGAATCTTGATCAGGCCATGAGTAAGTCATACAACATCCTTTTTAAAAAGGTACCCAGCTGTGAAGTTTTACTTTCCAGAAGCATTTGGTTGTAGTCATGGTTTAATGGTTGAATATGTCCTGGGTAGACAGGACCAGGCCACAGTGAAAGAGCAACCACACAACAGGCTGGAACCACAGAGTGAGTCTCTAGGGACTAGTGGACTTTGGAGCCGAATCGCCAATACCGTAGTTGAAGCATGTTGGCTTTTCTCAATATTTTCCCGTATGTTTTAAAGGGAGGTAATAATGACACTCTGAGAGACACTGGAACCACACACTGGACTTCAGTGGACACTGAGTGCGTTCCTCATGCCTTGCCCCAGAGTGGACTTGCCTAGGGGCCAGCAGAAGCGTCGCCTTGCTGGTTGAGCACCAGCTCTTGTTGAGAGATAAGATTTTCTGTCAAGGAACAAGCAACCCTAGTTCTGGAGCTGCTTTAAAAGTAATAATAATGTTAAATATTTACATTTAAATATAGTTGATTCTTATTTTCTTGGTGGTTATGTTCTATAAAGTCACCACAAACACTGAATTAATGAATACTGAACCAGTGTTCCTAGGAGACATGGGGTTGGGTTCCTAGGAGACACAGGGTTGGGTTCCTATGAGCCTTTGCTCACAACATTTTTGTCAACCAGTCAATATATAACCTTGTTTTATATGTTTTTCTGTTTCAAGACACCTTATTTAATATTGATATATATTTCTCACAAGTAATTATATGCCATATTTGTTAATACTAAAACATTAACCAAGAAGGGTGTACCATTTTTCTGACCCTGGATAATGTGACCATAAATTTATTTGGCTTTCAGACTCATAACAATGCCGTCCACTACACTCATGAATCCACAAATTTAGCTTCTTTTCCATAGCTCTATCACATGCCCAGATGTTACTTGAGTACTTCTGAGCAGCCTCACATACAGGTCAGTGAATTTTCTCTTCCTTTTTCTGGATGTACCATGTCATTGATTCATGATCATTGAACTCAGGGCCAACAGTGCTTTAACTCATGCCTACATGAAACTTACTTGACACACATACTTCCTCCGTAAGGTGCTTTACTGCCTTCTTGAGCTTAAAAACACAAGACAGCACCTCAGCCCCACATGGGGGTACCATTTTAAACACCAGCATCCCTGCAGAAAGCACAGAAATACGAAAAGCATGACAATAAATGAACGACAAAAAGGACGCTTCTTTACAGCTTGAGATCTGAGGCTCAACCTGAACTGGGAACATGAATGTTGGGCAACTCACATTTTTTTGCCAATCTGCACATGTCCACAAATAACCACAAAAGTGCTGCAATTATCGATTTGGGGGTTACAAATTTTAGCAAGTAGGACAGTTTTACAAGTACAGATTTCATGAATAATGAGGATAGACTGCAGACTGTCTAATCGTGCACGTGCGACATGTGGTGCAAACTGCCAGGGTGGGACAGAGCAGGGTGTGCTGCAAGAGGTGAATTCTAACTCCCTAGAACTGTGGAGCAGGATGGAGGGTGGGCCAAACACACACTAGTCATTAAGCCAACAGAGCCATGAGAATAGAAACAGTGTCTGTTTTGCACAGTATTGTATCCCCCACATCTGGAAGAATCCTTGCAGATACAGGACTCGGTGAATGGAGAGGCACAGCCATGAAGTAGGAGAGGAGCTGTTGCAGACAGAATAATCGGGAAGGCCCCTGCAAGAAAGTGACCATTGAGTTCACCAGAAATGAGGAAGCAAGCTGTATAGAAAACTAGGGGAGGGAGTGCATCCCAGGGAAGAGGACAAGCCGAGCCCCTGAGGACCAGCCATGGCTGGTGTGGCTGCTGCAGAGAGAGCAGAGGAGCGGCAGGGCCAGATCAGAGAGTGCAGGAGCCATGGAAGGATGCACGAGACCAACCCCCATCCCCTGACCTGAATCCTTGGCAGCCCCTTGTCGGGCTCAGCCCTAGCAAAGCCAAGGGCTGTCTCTGCCCCTGGCTTCCCTGTGTTTAAAGGGGTGGAGGGTCTCCATCCCTCCTTGAGGCCTTAGCTGGTGGTGCCTGTCTTGTGCTCAGCACTCACTTGTTTTGTTTACAGCGTTGCTTCTGTTTGTTGTGCTCCAGGCGCTCTGCTGGAAAAGAAGGTGGACGTGGACAAGCGTGGGCTGGGAGTGACCGACCATAATGGAATGGCCGCCAAGCCCCTCGGCTGCCGCCCGCCAATCTCCAAAGAGTCTTCCATGGACCGCCCCACCTTTCTTGACAAGGTATGAATATAGGTGGTTTTTTGTTTTTGCTTTTTTAACAAGAGGAGTTTTTCATTTCAACTGTGTCCTTAATACAAGCCAGATTAAAAATTTGCTGGACTGTAATACTTAAATGACTTTTGTCCATTTTTTTCTAACATTATGAATGTTGAACTCAAAGAAGGGAATGTCGTATTTCATGTGATGTTACTGAGAATGAAAAAGACTGGGATTGAAAATAGATTTTCATTTTTATTGTGTGATCTTGGCTGGTTTTCTGCTTCAATTTGTCCAGTGGGCAAGGATCATCAGATTTCCATTTTAAAACACAAATATCTCATTTTAAAAACACAGATCTTCCCTTTGGAAATGATGTGTTACATGTTTATCCTCAGGAAAAGGGATTGGAAGTGGTGGGGCTTGGGCACCCATCTCTGGCTGCCCCTTGTCAGTTGGCCACATGAGTGACCACAGCAGGCGTCCGTGGAAAACTCCCTGAATGTTTAGCAAGTCCAGTCACAGCTCAGTCCCCAGTGTTGTCATGTAATGATGTCCCCACTCCAGACTGGTGTGACTACAAAGCGGAGAAAAGCATTGCACTAAATTCAATGCAAACATTGAGCCTTGAAAATAAAATTGAAGGAAGGAAGGACACATTTAAAAAAAAAAATCACCAATGAAAGGAGCCTGGATGTGGTGGCTCACTCCTGTAAACCCAGCTGAGGTGGGTGGATCACCTGAGGTCAGGAGTTTGAGACCAGACTGGCCAACATGGTGAAACCTCATCTCTACTAAAAGTACAAAAATTAGCGAGCATGGTGGCACACGCCTGTGATCCCAGCTACTTGGGAGGCTGAGGCAAGAGAATTGCTTGAACCCGGGAGATGGAAGTTGCAGTAAGCTGAGATCGTGCCATTGCACTCCAGCCTGGACAAGACAGCAATACTCTGTCTCAAAATAAAAGAAAAAAAACAATGAAAGGAAAGGCTCACAAGCAAAGAATATCAGAGATGGGACTTGATCTTACTCTCAGAGTCCTCCAGCACGTGATCTGCTTCAGCTGCAGCTGTGGGGTAGCCCAGGGTGAGGCTCACATCCTCGTCCTCGTCCTCGTCCTTCCCATCGCCAGTGTGGACAGAGTTCAAACTCATAATGCCCAGTGAAATTGGAATTACAGATAAATAATTTTTGAAATCATACTAAAAAATTACTGTTCATCTGAAATTCCAGTGTAACTCAGCATCATATATTTTTATTTGCTAAATCTGACAACCCTAAATTGGGACCCTGACATTTAAAATATGGGATAATGCACAGGCTGGTTGTGATGTTAGCTGACATAAATTTGCAAAAGACCTGGCACATAGCATGACCTCAATAGATGTAAAAAAATAATAATAATAATAATAATAAGGTTCTATCTTTTATAACTTACTTTTATAACTCACCCTCTTCTTAGATTACACTCTATGAAACTGCTGTGTTTGTAGGTCAAAAACAAATGTCACAGAATTCAACCTATGTATACCTACAGCTTTGGTAATAACTTCTCAAAAAGAATCTGTTTATTTGAAAATGGTTGTAAAGTGCTTGTTGCCAATGCCTCCATCTTTCCTCCGTGCTCCTACCTGTTAGGAGCCAGTAGTTAGGAGAATAGTAGCAGCTAATATATGTGTTTGTAAAATACTTTTAAACTGAAAACAGCATCTTAATCCTATTTCTCTTTTTCTTTTTCCCCTCTTGCTTTTGCCCATGTTCTCCATTCCCTTATCCACACTTTTTTGATCTGTTAATTATTTATCCATCCATGCCTCCTCTGTTTCCTTGGGAAACTGTTTGGTGCTTTGTCTGCTGATGGACACTGCACACAGCTCACCCTTTCTTTCTCCAATCAGGATGGCGGCCTCGTGGAAGAGCCCACGCCTTCACCGTTCTTGCCTTCCCCAAGCCTGAAGCTCCCCCTTTCACACAGTGCACTCCCCAGTCAGGCCCTGGGTGGGATTGCCTCCGGGCTGGGCATGCAAAACTTGAATTCTTCTAGACAGGTAAGGCTGTTGGGAGAGAGCAACACGTGGCCTTTTTTTTACCTGCCTTCTAAAAAATGTGTTTGAGACATAAACTTTCTTATTTGTAGTTAATACCTCTATTTTAAAATATGACTGAAAATGTACAGGTAGTTGAAATAGTACCAGGATTTCCCTTCAAGTGACTTATTGGAGTCAAGGGTTGAAGTAGGAAATGCTTTAGTTATATTTATTCTTAAACTTAACTAAAACGTGTTAAGTTCAGCACCCTTGGTCTAACTTGGGACTGGCTGAAGTGATGATGTGTTGCACAGTGGTCTTTGGCTGCCAGATCCATCCAGAGGTCCAGGTAGTCCCCAGCCTCTTTCCTCCTGGCAACCAAAACGTTACATCTGTTGATCTGTGAGAAAGCACCACATTCTCCCCCTTTTTCCCAGAAATAAAGATGACATCTCTTGCAAGGTGGTTCTCAGGAGTCACACTGGCATTTTTTTCCAGACTTCAGCACTCTTTGGGTACAGGCGGAGATCACCTTTCTAAATCAGTTACTAAAGGAAGAACCTGAGAGTGTCGTTTGCCACTTCATCTTACTTTTCTCATATAGACTCTTAACGTGAAGTGTTGTACCAAAAAACATATGATCCTTTCCCATCCCTAGGACATCCCTTCTCTCTGATTTTCTTAGGGATGAGGTTGACACACACACACCCCTTGGAGACATGTCTCTAAGACACTGTGACATGTGGTTGGCCAAACAGCCTCTGTGTGCCCATTGTCCCAGTGTTGTTACCAGTAGTGCCCTTTCCACTCACCAGCGCCCAGCTGTGTGATCCTGGCAATCTGACATTACCCCCATGGTGGTGATGCAGTGAGACCTCTCATTTCCATTGTTCTGCCAGCTTCAAGTCAGCAGCCCAGCTAGGGTGTGCACTGGGGTTAGTTCACAGCTGTTAGGTTCACAGAAGGGGGTCTCTGCCAGTGCCTCTCAGGCGGCTCTTCCCAAGTGAAGCTGTACAGTACCTTACCTCACCTATTTGTCAGGTAACTCATTACACAGAGTGAAAACTACAGCTACAATATCTTTATCATAGTTAATACAGAATTAACTACCTGAATTTGTCAGTTCATTCCATTTCAAGGTTTATTGAAATAATAACTATATTTCCTGTTTGAAATGTTGCCGGCCGGGCGCAGTGGCTCAAGCCTGTAATCCCAGCACTTTGGGAGGCCGAGATGGGCGAATCACGAGGTCAGGAGATCGAGACCATCCTGACTAACGCAGTGAAACCCCGTCTCTACTAAAAAAACACAAAAAACTAGCCGGGCGAGGTGGCGGGCGCCTGTAGTCCCAGCTACTTGGGAAGCTGAGGCAGGAGAATGGTGTAAACCTGGGAAGCGGAGCTTGCAGTGAACTGAGATCCGGCCACTGCACTCCAGCCTGGGCGACAGAGCGAGACTCTGTCTCAAAAAACAATCAAAAAAAAAGAAATGTTGCTATCCTCTTAGATTAGTAATCCCCACACATTATTATTATTTAATTTTTATCACATCGTTTTGGAAATGTATATTATTCAAATAACCGTATTCATGTTGCTATAGTGTGTGAAACATTGTATGCTGGTAGTTTCTTTGAATGGGGTAGCCTTCTTGTTGTATAAATGACACTCATTAAAAATTCACTTGGGGTTGAGCGAGGTGGCTCACACCTGTAATCCTAACACTTTAGGAGGCTGAGGTGGGTGGATCCCGAGGTCAGGAGTTTGGGACCAGCCTGGCCAACATGGCAAAACCCCGTCTCTACTGAAAATACAAAAATTCAGGCCAGGCGTGGTGGCTCACACCTGTAATCCCAGCACTTTGGGAGGCCGAGATGGGTGGATCACGAGGTCAGGAGTTCAAGACCAGCCTGGCCAACATGGTGAAACCCCGTCTCTACTAAAAATACAAAAAATTTAGCCAGGTGTTGTGGCGGGTGACTGTAATTCCAGCTCCTTGGGAGGCTGAGGCAGAGAATTGCTTGAATCCAGGAGGCAGAGGTTACAGTGAGCCGAGATCGCACCACTGCATTCCAGCCTGGACAACAGAGCAAAACTCCGTTTAAAAAAAAAAAAAAAATAGCCAGGCGTAGTGGCGGGCATCTGTAATCCCAGCTACTCAGGAGGCTGAGAGAGAAGAATCACTTGAACCCAGGAGGCAGAGGCTACAGTGAGCCAAGATCACACTACTGCACTCCAGTCTGGGTGACAGAACAAGACTCTGTCTCAAAAAAATTCTCTTGGGTACAAGTTGACAGTGGTAGGAAGTAGAAACGATTTTGCAATCACTTAAAATAGATCATTTCACCCTACCTCCAAACAATGTTTAATGCCTGCCTTGGTAACATGTCCAATTCTGTCCCTGTACAGATACCGAGTGGCAATCTGGGTATGTTTGGCAATAGTGGAGCAGCACAAGCCAGGACCATGCAGCAGCCGCCACAGCCACCAGTGCAGCCTCTTAACTCTTCCCAGCCCAGTCTCCGTGCTCAAGTGCCTCAGTTTCTATCCCCTCAGGTCAGACCCACATCCAAGCAGGACTAAGCAACAGGATGTAGATGCCGGTTTTTCGTGGGGTCCTGTGTTATCTGGAAGTCACTATTTTAAAGTGAGGGCTGAGTTAATCCATGTTTAAGAGAAGGCCTTCTGGTTTTTAAACTATAAATTAATTTTGGACTATAAAGTAGTAAACTGATTCTCCTGACCCAGGAGACATTTTCAGAGCTTGCTCCTTGGAATGCCTCAGCCACCCAAACTAACATTTGGCATCTTCCTAGTCAGAAGCAATATTGAGGGGAAAGGACCTGCCCAACACAATCCTATTGATGTGCTTTTGTCCCAGTCTTTCTCGAGAAAATTATTCAGATGAACCCAGTGAACTGTCCTAGTTTGGTGGGAGAGGAAAGTGACATGCTGTAGTATTGCTGAGGATGTAAAAGAAACCCTTAGAAGCAGCCAAGGACTGAATCATGCTTTAATGAGAAACTAAATGTGATCTTATATAATAGTATGTATATTATAGATTTTCAGTTATGTTTAATATTCAGCATTAGATCATTTTTGCCAATAGAGATGGGTTTTTTTTTCTTTCTTTCATACCTTTTTAGAAGTGAACCGTAGAGATTGTTAAGAAAAAAAGGTTGCCGGGCGCGGCGGCTCACGCCTGTAATCCCAGAACTTTGGGAGGCTGAGGCGGGTGGATCACCTGAGGTCAGGAGTTCAAGACCAGCCTGGCCAACCTGGTGAAACCCCGTGTCTACTAAAAATACAAAATTAGCCAGGTGTGGTGGCGCATGCCCGTGATCCCAGCTACTTGGGAGGCTGAGGCAGGAGAATCGTTGGACTCCGGGAGGTGGAGATTGCAGTGAGCCAAGATTACGCCATTGCACTCCAGCCTGGGCAACAAGAGCAGAAACTCCTTCTCAAAAAAAGAAAGAAAGGAAAAAAGGTCAAATCGAATTAAGGAAAAGGATATTGCTGTTTTGCATGGCTCTGAGGCCTAATATATATCAATTGTTGTTGTTAATATTGTTTATTTTTAGCACATTTTACAATTTTAGGCTTTGGACCAAGTTTCTAATTACAGTGTTAGTTCTTACCCCTTATAAGGTATTTGATGATCGATGGTATTGATAACATCTTTGCTGTGTGGGTAACTCAGGGCTCTGGTAATTCTTCCCACGTAATTCTGATGTGAAGGTTGACTGGAGCCTGCCCTGAGGGAGCAGCAGCATCTTGAAGTACTTACCACATTCTCGCATTCTTATAGCAGAGAGGGAAAAAACTGCTTTCTTCCCCAAGAGACCTCTAATATCAAGAAGATAGTTAAGATTTCTGAGGGATCTTATTTTCAAACTGTCCCAAAAGAGAACGTGTTAATTTGTCAATCTTCTATTATTCATAAAATTTAATTTAAATGTGTTCAGTTTGTTGGAATATAGTGTCTTAGTCCATTTGGGCTGCTGTAACACAATACCTTAGACTGGGTCATTTACAACAGCATGAATGTATTGCTTGCAGTTTTGGAGACTGAGAAGTCCAAGGTCAAGGTGCCAGACGATTCAGTGTCTGGTGAGGGCCCGTTTCTCATAGATGGCAACTTTTATGCATCCTCATGTGGTGGAAGGGGTGAGCGGGCTTTCTCAGGCCTCTGTCATTAGGATGCTAATTCCATTCATGGGGGCTCCTGATCACCCCCCAAAGGCCCCAGCTCTTAATACCACCACAATTAGGGTTTAGGTTTCAACATAGGAATTCTGGGGGAGGGGGACACAGACATTCAGACAATAGCATATGGGAAGGTAATGCTAGCGTACGAAAAAGAGCAGGATGCACTAGGCACTGCACTGAGGGTAATTCTCACTCTATAATTGTTCAAATCCAGGTTTGTGCACTGAGTTGATAGTGGACAATTATCAGTGTAACTAATACATTTAACTATTATCAGGTAATAAGATAAAAGTTATTAGATAATAGTTAAATGTATTCGTTAGAATATAGGATAAGCTACTATAACAAAGACGCCTCAAAAAACAGTAGTTTAAACTAGGTAGACATTGATCTCTCTCAGGTTACAGTGCAGAAAGAAGCAGTGCAGGGATTGGGGGCAGCTCTGCCACAACCACTTCCCAGTAACAGGGAAAAAGGCAACACTCTTGTGCAAGTGGCCTTGAAATTGCACACACCACTTCCAGTCACATCCCACTGCCCAAACCTAGGCCACAGCTATACCCAGTCTGAGAGGCAGTAGCAGAAGAATCAGTTTGTCTTACCCACACAAAGCAAACCAGCATGTCCCAAATGGCAAGGCATCTGTGTGCCATCTCACTGTTTCTTCCATATTTCCATGTTACCTGTAAGTACTGATAGGAAGGACACAGAACCTTGGAAAGTTCATTTATAATTAAAGTATTTGGAGGATGAGATCTCTGAAGACTTCCCTTCTTCCTTCCCTCCTTTCTTTTTCCTTTCTTATTCTTTACTTGCTAACTACTAATATTAAAATGTCCATACATTTTTTAATGGCCTTTGACATTTCACCCATGAGACAAATATAATTATTATTGCGGGATCTGGCCGGCAGCCCGCAATGCAACAGGGCTCTTTCTTTGTTCCCAGGCAGATTGGCAGGTCGAGAAATAAAAGATACACACGAGATAGTGAAAGCTGGGTTCAGCATGTCACCGCCTTCTGGTCCTGCGATGCTGCCAATGCACTGGATATACCAGCATTTATTATTAAGTTTAGTGAGGGCAGGGTAGGTTAGTGAGGGATATAGGGTCGTTTGATTATGAGGTGAGATGATCACATGGGATGAAGTAATTCTTTAACATAATATCAGTATGCAGAAGTAGAGTATACAGAGATAAGGATTTACAATGTAGTGTGTGCATCAGCAATTTCTAACAGAGCCTTAAAACAGAAACACAGTCTGTCCATAACCTATGTTTAGTAAGATACTAATCAGTAGTAATAATTGCAGCAAAAGCTTGTTGCAAACAATCAATAGAAACAGGGCATGAAACTATACAACTGGTTAGACCACAAATTCTCAGAAGGGAGTATGCCTTAACCCTGAAGAGACCTAGAAGAGCCATGGCAAGCAAGATAAGGGCATTTATAACCCTATCTTATCCATATGAACAAGCATCCCTCATGTGTCCGTTTATAGGCTCTCCACAAGGGTTGTATTCCATTCCCAGAGCTATGAACATCTGCTTTTCTGGGATAGGAATCTTGGTGATGTGAAACCTCCCTGACTGCGTGTCCGTTGATAGGCTCTCTGCAGTGGGAAGCACATCACGCACTGTTGGCTCATTCTGGCGGCCCAACCTTGCGTTGTCTTTATGCAGTCCTGCATGCAATTTTGTATTTACAATAATCAGGGGCATTTATTTTTTTTCCGTAACAGTAGTTTCCGGGGATCTCCCTACAAATTATCACTTAATCATTTTTGAATTTTGAAAAACTACATGGGCAAGTAACTATTTTAACAGAGATACAATGGCTGATCGCATATTTTTTGTTAAACAGGTTCAAGCACAGCTTTTGCAGTTTGCAGCAAAAAACATTGGTCTCAACCCTGCACTATTAACCTCGCCAATTAATCCTCAGCATATGACGATGTTGAACCAGCTCTATCAGCTGCAGCTGGTGAGTGGACAGACCCATGCGAGTTAGAGCACGCAGGCCGAGTGCTCTCCTGGTGCCCATGCAGATGCACCAGTGTGGCGCACCACTGAGAGCAGCAGTTGTGATAATGTTTGTCTTCACATCGGGGATGTCATTGAGACTGTCATGAAGTATTTAAACTCTTCATGAGTTAGGAAGTTCTCACTCAAAGGTGTCCTTACTAAGTTTTGTAAATGTTTTGGCCCTTTGTTTTTGTTTTTGTTTTTGTTTTTGTTTAGAGGCAGCATCTCACTATGTTGCCAGGCTGGTCTGGAACTCCTGGACTCAAGGGATCCTCCCACCTCAGCCGTCTGAGTAGCTGAGACCACGGGTGTGCACCACTGCACATGGCTTGGCCTCTTTGTGTTCAAAAAATCTACCAGCTTTTATAATTAGGCATGTCTTTTCATTTGAGCTCTCAGCCAGAGTTTCTGAGAACCACAGAACACAAAAAATCATTTGAGTGACTATTTTCTCAATAATTCTAAGGATGGTATACATAAATACTATTCTAGAAGCACAGGAGAAAAATTGCTTTGTTACATATAGTAGATACCTTAGAACATTAGAACTTAATTCTCTCATGAAACCCCGGTCAAGAATGGCTGATGTGACCTAATAATTCTTGAAAGTTTTTTTTTTGTTTTTGGTTTTTTTTTTTTTTTTTGAGATGGAGTCTTGCTTTGTCACCCAGGCTGGAGTGCAGTGGTGTAATCTCGGCTCACTGCAAGCTCCGCCTCCCGGGTTCACGCCATTCTCCTGCCTCAGCCTCCTGAGTAGCTGGGACTACAGGCACCCGCCACCGCGCCCAGCTAACTTTTTGTATTTTTAGTAGAGACGGGGTTTCACCGTGGTCTCGATCTCCTGACCTTGTGATTCGCCCGCCTCGGCCTTCCAAAGTGCTGGGATTACAGGCGTGAGCCACCATGTCTGGACTGAAAATTTTATAACTTTACATAATCTTGATTTTTTTTTTGTTTGTTTGTTTGTTTGTTTGTTTGTTTTTTGAGACGGAGTCTCGCTCTGTCACCCAGGCTGGAGTGCAGTGGCCGGATCTCAGCTCGCTGCAAGCTCCGCCTCCCGGGTTCACGCCATTCTCCTGCTCAGCCTCCCGAGTAGCTGGGACACAGGCGCCTGCCACCTCGCCCGCTAAGTTTTTGTATTTTAGTAGAGACGGGTTTCACTGTGTAGCCAGATGGTCTCGATCTCCTGACCTCGTGATCCGCCCGTCTCGGCCTCCAAAAGTGCTGGGATTACAGGCTTGAGCCACCGCGCCCGGCCAATCTTGATTTTTTTTTAATTTTCAAACGGTCTTACTGATTTTACCATAAATTGCCATGTCATTGTATACTTAGATGCCTACTGAAATTATATACACTAAAAGACCCAGTGAATTATTTCATTCTTTAATGTGGGTACCTGATTTGTTTAGCAATCTTAGCCAGCAACTTCATCACCTAGCAAACGACTAGGAATCGGCCAAGCACAGTGGCTCATGCCTGTAATCCGAGCATTTTGGGAGGCCCAGGCGGGTGAATCACCTGAGGTCAGGAGTTTGAGATTAGCCTGGCCAACATGGTGAAACCCTGTCTCTACTAAAAATGCAAAAATTAACTGGGCATGGTGGTACACATCTGTAATCCCAGCTACTTGGGAGGCTGAGGCAGGAGAATCGCTTAAACCTGAAAGGCCTGAAAGGCGGAAGTTGCAGTGAGCCTCGCACCATTGCACTCCAGCCTGGGTGACAGAGCAAGACTCCATCTCAAAAAAAAAAAAAAAAAAAAAAATGACCAGGAATCATGAAGGAAAAAAAATAAAAAAAAAAGAATGGGACTCCAAAAGACAAAACCATTGGCATAAGATCTTTGCTAATAAGAGAGTACTTGAGTCCTCAGTCCTTCCCCTTTGCCGTTTTTTAGACATATGTCCAACAAGTTTGAGGTCTGGCTTTTCTGTAAGCAGCAGGGGAGGATAGAAGGAAGGAGGGAAGGATGTGTCCCAGAGGCACATGCTATGTATGTGTCCTCGCTTTAAGGGAGAGCACAGAGCTCTAGACATGAGGTCAGGACCAAGGCCTCAGAAACTGTTTTTTCTTTTTCTTTTTTTTTTTTGAGACAGAGTCTTGCTAGTCTTGCTCTGTCGCCTAGGCTGGAGTGCAGTGGTGCAATCATGGCTCACTGCAGCCTCCACCTTGTGGGTTCAAGTAATTCTTCTGTCTCAGCCTCCCGAGTAGCTTGGATTACAGGCGCCCGCCACCACACCTGGCTGATATTTGTATTTTTAGTAGAGACGGGGTTTCACCATGTTAGTCAGGCTGGTCTCGAACTCCTAATCTCAGGTGATCCTCCCGCCTCAGCCTTCCAAAGTACTGGGATTACAGGCGTGAGCCACTGCGCCCGGCCAGAGACTGTTTTTTCATCTATCAGAAGGGAAGAATCGCTGTGGGGAGGCAGTGCACATGTGCAGTCCTGTTGCTTTCAGTCCTGCCAGCTGGAGACCACTGACCTCCAAAGGAAAGGAGACAGCCCTGAAAACAGGCACTCATAGAAAAAGCATGCAGGTTTAGAACTGTTACTATAGAGGACGATTGCTTTCTGCCGCTTGATGCAGGCATTGCTGTATTCTGACACAGAGCTGATTTTCTTACTGATGTGCTAGAATCTTTTAGTTATACAGTAAGTTTTTATTGACCCCATGGTGTGAAAGACGTCAAGAAAATGTTGAATTACAATAGTGTGTTCTTATTTTAAAACAATGTATTCTGTTCTTAAATATTTTTCCAGAAAAAATGGAAAAATAAAGTTTCAGTGCTTCCATAAGGTTAAGTTTTAGGGCCTATAAGAATTTACTCAAGTATTTTATTCCTCCATGATTACAGATCAATGAGGCATTTCTAATAGTACAATCTCCACCTTTATTTGGATTCTACTTTGATGAGTCCTTTTGCCAAAAATGTCCCTAAAATTCATGTTGTAAGAAAAAATTATGATATTCAACCAACATTTCAAAACAGTCAAGTGACCAAAGCTGCTATGTCAGTGTACAGAAGAATATCATAACTTTAACCAACTTTGTAGATGACAAGTTCGTGTGACAAAAATGCCCACAAATCTGCATTTCAGGTTCTCTCTTAGCTTTCATTCCCATGATGTTATGGAGACGACCACATTGTTTAACACACATTATTCTTGAATGATTTGGGACAGTTACTCCCAGTGCTTTGCCACATTGGGCTGTGCTGGACTTCAGTATCCGTCATTATAGAATAGGTGGTGGTGGTGGTGGTGGTGGTGGTTGTTTAAGTTTCAGTTTGTATGAATCAAGCAGAAGAATTTTGATCTCTTCATTAAATGAAAAATATTTGCTGACCAACATCATCACCAACACTAAACAAGTGTTAACTCTGTGATTTCTTTTAATTCTGTACACTAAAAAAGTGGATAAGACATTAATCTTTTAAAAGTGCTCTGTGCCTCCAGAATATGTGTCAGCCACAGCTGGGCGCGTTGGCTCATGCCTGTAATCCCAGCACTTTGGGAGGCTGAGGCGGGCAGATCATGAGGTCAGTAGTTTGAGACCAGCCTGGCCAACATAATGAAACCCCGTCTCTACTAAAAATACAAAAATTAGCTGGGCAATGTGGCACGTGACTGTAATCCCAGCTACTTGGGAGGCTGAGGGAGGAGAATTTGTTGAACCCAGGAGGCAGAGGTGGCAGTGAGCTGAGATTGCGCCACTGCATTCCAGCCTAGGTGACAGAGCGAGACTCCATCTAAAAAAAAAAAAAGAGTATGTGTCAGCCACAGTATGGGCCAAGAAGAGTGGCTAGGTTCTCTTTTTTTGTTTTTTAACTAATGTCAAAGTTGAACCATTAGTTCAACTTATACTTAATTATTATACTATTTTAACTCTTCTTTTTGTCAACAGGCATACCAACGTTTACAAATCCAGCAGCAGATGTTACAGGCCCAGCGTAATGTGTCCGGATCCATGAGACAACAGGAGCAGCAAGTAGGTGCTACCCAGATTGACTTTTGTCATGAGCTATAATTTTCCCTGATAGAAGAGATGCTAGTTGATGAACTATTAGATGATCTTTGATTTTTCTCTAGCCAAGCCTTCCTTGGAAAATTCCTGGGTTCAGCTAGGTTTGGGAGGAGGTTGACCTAGCCAGTGGTGGCCTCAGCATAAAGACAATGAAGAATTCACCTGGTCCCTAGACAAGCCATGAGTGTCCCTTCCCACCTGGTTAACGAACCTATGTCTGTGCCTGCCAGGTTGCGCGCACAATCACTAATCTGCAGCAGCAGATCCAGCAGCACCAGCGCCAGCTGGCCCAGGCCCTGCTCGTGAAGCAGCCACCACCGCCACCGCCCCCGCCGCACCTGTCTCTGCACCCCTCTGCAGGCAAATCGGCCATGGACAGCTTCCCCTCGCACCCGCAGACTCCCGGCCTACCTGACCTGCAGACCAAAGAGCAGCAGTCTTCACCCAACACCTTTGCTCCTTACCCTCTTGGTGAGTGTCCCATGGTCTTCAACAGCCACATCAGGTAGAGAGAGTGCCTGGAGTCCATATGTGGCGGCCAGGGCAGCATTTCAGTGGTTAGGAGGACTGGCCAGCGCCAAAACCATAGCCTGTTGTAAGTGCAGCCCCAGACAAAGTCACAGAACAGGCATCTCAAGGCTTTTTAGCTTTAAAAAAAGTTTTTTATTATTTTTTGGAGAAATGGGGTCTCACCACGTTGCCCAGGCTGGTCTCGAACTCCTGGGCTCAAGCAATCCTCCCACCTCAGCCTCTTAAAGTGCTGGGTTTACAGATGTGAGCCACCATGCCCAGCCTCAAGAATTTTTAATAAGGGAGCAACACTAACCATGTTCTATAGAGCAGGAGTTTTGCTGCAGCCATAGTACTCTCAGTATAAAACCTTTAAAGGTGGTACCAGTCAGAGCCTCCAAAATCTCATTTCCACTGTCATATCTCCGGAGTTTGTTCTATTCCTAGTCTACTCTGAACTGTACTTTACCAGCCACTTCCTCCAGCCCAAACCGCAGAGAAGACTTTATAATGGTTTGGTCAGTAAAAGTATTCAGATTTACACCAAAAGCACTTCTTAAAAAGCAGTGGTTGTTGATACAACTCATTTTGTATGAAATGTGATTTGTATAATCGACGAAATCAACATATATATGTTGAAATCTAACTTGTAGAAGCACATAGGGCACATGAAACCTGCAGGTCACTATAAGACATGGTGCCAGGCCTCAAGGTCAGGCCTGCCAGGAGAGTCACAGCTCACATACCTGAAGACACCAGAGGGTATAAATGAGTAAATTGATTCTGCATGGACTAATTTGCTGTAAGAATTCAGAACTTAGTGAAAGCACTTTAGGCTTGTCTGTTGATTGCTATTAGAGTCTGTAGATGCAGGACAAAGGGTATCAGTAACTTGGAAAATACATCTGTAAAGGGCCAAAGGCCAGTTGAGTGGTAGTGAATTTGCTACCAGCAGATAATATTCATTTATCTAATTCTATTCAATGTCTCTCAAAAGGGCGGTGTATTGTAATCATTTGAACACTTTTTACTTGACATATTATAAATGTGATATATCTTTAATATGAGATTGATAAATACTAGACTAGATGATCTCGTTCCTTAATTATTGTCTCATCCATTAACACCCTTTGTGTCTAAGTAGTTAAGACCTGACTTAGGAATTAGATTGCCTAGGTTTGAGTCCCAACTCACCACCAACAGGCTCACTACTAACTTGGGCAACTTGCCTAGCTGCTTTTTGCCTCAATTTCTTTCTTTTTTTTTTTTTTTTTTTTTTTTGTTAGAGACGGGGTCTTTCTGTGTTGCCCAGGCAAGTCTCAAACTCCTGGCCTCAAGTGATCCTCCCTAAGTGTTAGGATTACAGGCCTGAGACACCATACCCAGTCATACCTTAATTTCTTCATCTGTAATGTGGAAATACTTAACTCCTAGGTTTGTTTTAAAGATTAAATAAGCTAATATGTAAAGTTCTCTCTCTTTTTTTTTTTTTTTTTTGGAGACGGAGTCTCACTCTGTTGCCCAGGCTGGAGTGCAGTGGCGCGATCTCGGCGCACCCAGCTAATTTTTTGTATTTTTAGTAGGGACGGGGCTTCACCGTATTAGCCAGGATGGTCTCGATCTCCTGACCTTGTGATCCACCTGCCTTGGCCCCCTAAAGTGCTGGGATTACAGGCATGAGCCACCACTCCTGGCCTCTTTTTTTTTGGCTGGAGTGCAGTGGCATGATGATAGCTCATTGCAGCCTCAAACTCCTGGCCTCAAGTGATCCTCCTGGTCTCAGCTTCCCAAAGTGCTGTGATTACAGACATGAGCCATCACACCCGGCCTAATACGTAAAGTCTTTAAATAGTGCCTAGCAAATAGTACATAGCAAACACTTTGTAAAATATCAGCTACTTATGTAAGTGCTTCTGTTTTAGAAACAAATTTCATTCCACCTATTATCCTAAAATGCGTTAGCTTCAGCTTTCTAGTATTCACCTGTCTTCTTAACCTGTATTTGGAAGATAAAGTACACTTATCATGACTTTTTTTTATTTTTTATTTATTTATTTATTTATTTATTTATTTATTTTTTGAGATGGAGTCTTGCTCTGTTGCCCAGGCTGCAGTGCAGTGGCGCAATCTTGGCTCACTGCAACCTCTACCTTCTGGATTCAAGCGATTCTCCTGCTTCAGCCTTCCAGGTTGATGGGATTACAGGCGTGCATCACCACGCCTGGCTAATTTTTGTATTTTTAGTAGAGACTGAGTTTCACCGTGTTGGCCAGGCTGGTCTCGAACTCCTGACCTCAGGTGATCCACCCACCTCGGCCTCCCAAAGTGCTGGGACTACAGGCATGAGCCACCGCGCCCGGCCACTTATCTTTACTCTTAAGGATTTTTTTTCTTAGTACAAGTTAAAGAATTCATGCAGTGAATCTTTGAAATTAGTTGAAAAATAATTTGGGTAATATTTTATAATATTCACAGTGAAGTTATAAATGTATTAAAAACAAATAACTAATAAAGTATAGGAAACTTTGGTTGTAAAATTGCCTCTCTTGCTGGCTCTCAGCATTTCTCTGCAGCAGCACCTATGTTGAAGAGCCTATTAGAAACTCAACAATTCATGTAAAGAAACCAGCAGCCCATGGTCAGTAGTGGGGGCTCCCAGCTACCGTCCTTCCCTCACATTCAGCCTGTCCTTGTTATTCTCAGTCTTTTGCCACCTGGAGTTCGTCATTTAGATGGGAAGAGCAGGCATATAAACAGGAAAAAATAACGTTGATACCAGTGTCATGTGATTCTCACAGGGCTCTAGAGAAGGAAAAGTTCACTTTCACTTTGAGTGGAGAAAGAAAAATCAGAGAATAGTATTAAGCTTGAACCTCAAATGATTAGATAGGATTACAGTAAATAAAGAGGAAGCCTTTCCAAATGAAGGGGAAGCCTCACATAGCACAGAAGAAAGAGGCCTGGCCTGTTTCAGGGGCCCATTTTGCAAGGGCCAGGCCAGTCTAGCTGACTTTCCCAGAGGGGAAAGTTGGGAGAGATGGGTTGGGGCCAAATTGTGGAATTCGGAGCATTCTGAAGGCCAGGTTGAAGCCCTGACATTGTTGCCACCTTACCTGACTAGATCTGTACAAGCTGAAACGAAGAGAACTCAGAGATTGCAAGTAGGCAACCCCGTGGCACTGATGGGCTTGCAAAGGCGTTTTGTTAAGTCTGCGAAGCGTGTATGTGCGTGTTCGTAGGCGTGTGTTAATGCCAACATTCAAAAATTGGGGAAAGTGGCTTCTGGCTTCTCTTAAAAATGGCTTTAGTGGGTCTATGTTCCATGTAGCAATAAGTGGTTGGCCCCAGTAGCACCTGTTTATTTAGACAGGACAGACACTCTCTGGTTTGCCACAGTCCCCATGAGGCCCACCTCTTCATGTGCATGGCCACTTGGCTCCTATGGGCATTTGAATTTGCAGCCTCTGAAATAAAGGTAAGAACCAGAATGTTCAGCACCTGGCTTAGTAGTAGAGGCTCACTGTGCTTACATACCATGTGGCATAGTTGTACATATGGTAAGGATCTGTGGAGTATGTGTATGTGGTAATGGGAACTGCAGCTGGAAATCCAAGGGGAGGGGGACCCCTCTGCTCGTTATTCCCTTCCAAACAAGCAGTCTGTCCTGCTCCAAACTGGTGTCCTCATCAGAAAGTCTTTACTTCAACCTTTTTATCATTGTCCTCCTTCCTCGTCGTCTTTCTTTATTAACCTAGCTTAGTACAGGTCCTGGACAGATAACCAGCTACCTGCTTTTCGCTATAAGAAATGAGCTCAGAAGCCTCAGCTCACCATCCCAGCTGGGGCAGATGGCAGCACCCTATCTGTCAAATAGTTCAGTTCCTTAAAAGTAGTTTGATTTTAATTCACAAACTCTTTTAGAGCAGACTTTTGTAAAGGAAACTCACTGAAAGTAGAACTGAATTATCCTATCAGTCTGTTTCATAGGTGGTACTTTAGAGTTCTGGAAAAGTGTTTTTGACCCGATGAGTTTCCATAAGATATCCCAAAACCAGAAAAGATTTTCCTAATAGTTTGGACTTTTTCTGTTTTCCTGTGGACTCTGAGAAGCCTCAGGACCATGTTTATCCAGCACTGAAACAAGTAAAGTGAAGAGAGTCGTGGGCCTCACTTAATCAAAGGCTATTCACATTTTCACCTTAATTTAGGAGTAATATTCCGAGAAGTACATGCTGTTATGAAGATAAAAAGTATTTTTCACCAGCACTAAAAGTTACAGTTAAAATATTTTGTTGTATCCCAGCTACTTGGGAGGCTGAGGCAGAAGAATCGCTTAAACCCAGGAAGCGGAGGTTGCAGTGAGCCAAGATCATGCCATTGCACTCTAGCCCGGGCAACAAGAGCAAGACTCCGTCTCAAAAAACAAAAAAAAATTTGCTGTAAGCGAAGACTGAAATAGCTTCTGTAGGAGAGCTTTAGAATGAAGTCTTTTAGAGGAGCAGGTGAATCCTAATCGGCATCTCTCTCTTTAGCTGGACTGAACCCAAACATGAATGTCAACAGCATGGACATGACCAGTGGCTTGTCGGTGAAGGACCCATCCCAGTCCCAGTCACGCCTCCCCCAGTGGACGCACCCCAACTCCATGGATAACTTGCCCAGTGCCGCTTCCCCCCTGGAGCAGAACCCTAGCAAGCATGGTACGTCTGGGCTAGGATGCCTGTGGTGGAATCACTGCTGGCTTACTAATCGATCTTCCTGTTGTATAACATGCCCATTCTATACTTTTCTAAGAATTGAGCGCTGAAAGTTGGATTTAAAATAACCCATTCCGTTATAGTGCATATGAGATCTCAGCTAGTCAGTGATCAAACTTCTTAAAAGCCAGCCATTAGATCTTAGCTACAAACCTAGAAATAATTTGAAAACCCCAGAGCAGCAAAGAATCTAGGTCATAGCCTATGTACTTTTTTTTTTTATATCTCTATTCATCAACAAAAACTTGAGTCTGCTGAAATATTTTCAATAAAATAGTAAAACACAAATAGAAAATCAAATATGCAGTATGTATGGGAACTGCAGCTGTAAATACTAGGGTGCATTTCTGTTGGTTATTCCCCTCCATCCAAGCAGTCTGTCTTACTCCAAACTGGTGTCCCCATCAGGAACTCGTTACCGATGGACACACCAGTAAGGTGGAAGCAAAAATGATACCCGTAGGAGGTACTTTCAAGCATTAAATTTAGCTCTGAACTTGCTGGTAGAATAAACAGCAAAGGAAATTCAATAGGTTATGTAGTTCTCTCTTGATACAAAGCATTCTAAAAAGAAAAAGGAAACTATGGGCCGGGCGCGGTGGCTCAAGCCTGTAATCCCAGCACTTTGGGAGGCCGGGGCGGGTGGATCACGAGGTCAGGAGATCGAGACCATCCTGGCTAACACGGTGAAACCCCGTCTCTACTAAAAAATACAAAAAACTAGCCGGGCGAGGTGGCGGGCGCCTGTAGTCCCAGCTACTCGGAGGCTGAGGCAGGAGAATGGCGGGAACCCGGGAGGCGGAGCTTGCAGTGAGCTGAGATCCGGCCACTGCACTCCAGCCTGGGCGGCAGAGCCAGGCTCCGTCTCAAAAAAAAAAAAAAAAAAAAAGAAAAAGGAAACTATGTCTCATGGTTAACTTACGGAAAATCATCACACACTGCTGGCACCTTTCTTAGCAGGAGGGCCTTGCTGCCTGTGGCTGGTTGGTTTGGTTCTGTATGAATTTTTAACATCCACTGTGTTCTTCCATAGTGAGGGTTTCAGACTAAAAGGAGGGAAGAGGTAAGAGCAAATTTGATACTAATCACAAAGACTCATAAGTTGTCCCCAAAAAGGTTTATTAAGGGCAGCTTCCCATGGTATGGATATGTATTTTATAAAGATTTCAGGCCGGGCACAGTGGCTCAAGCCTGTAATCCCAGCACTTTGGGAGGCCGAGACGGGCGGATCACGAGGTCAGGAGATCGAGACCATCCTGGCTAACACGGTGAAACCCCGTCTCTACTAAAAAATACAAAAAACTAGCTGGGCGAGGCGGCGGGCGCCTGTAGTCCCAGCTACTCGGGAGGCTGAGGCAGGAGAATGGCGTGAACCCGGGAGGCGGAGCTTGCAGTGAGCTGAGATCCGGCCACTGCACTCCAGCCTGGGCGACAGAGTGAGACTCCGTCTCAAAAAAAAAAAAAAAAAAATTTCTAACTGGACAAACTAAAATTGTTCTTCAGGGGTTTCGGTCTTTCAGGCCTGAAATTGGAGCTGGCTTAAGTAGTCACTGGCCAGGCATGGTGGCTCACACCTGTAGTCCCAGCTACTTGGGAGGCCAAGGTGGGAGGATCACTTGAGCCCAGGAGTTTGAGGCTGCAGTGAGCCCTAATCACATCACTACACTCCAGCCTGGGCAACAGAGTGAGACATTGTCTCAAAAAAAAAAAAACAGTCATTGATTCTTACAGAATCCTAGACAGACCAGGTCTTACAATTCATGTAACCGAATAGAGCAAGGCATTGGACCTAGAACAGAAGGTGCATAGGGAGGCTTAGGGTATCTTCTGCTGTCTCTCAACTGGAGGGTATTCACTCGCTTCTTTGTTTCCTGTTGTCCCCATAGGTGCTATCCCTGGAGGTCTAAGCATTGGGCCTCCAGGTAAGTCCTCCATTGATGACTCCTATGGCCGGTACGATTTAATCCAGAACAGTGAGTCACCAGCCAGTCCTCCCGTAGCTGTTCCCCATAGCTGGTCACGTGCCAAATCTGACAGTGATAAAATCTCAAATGGCTCTAGCATCAACTGGCCCCCAGGTAAGACCGTGCAACACTTCCGTGCAACAGCAGCAGGTCAGAACGTGCTCCAAGCCTGCAGAGAGTGATGAGGCTGGGAGGACCCAGAATCTGAGCTAAGGATCTGGAAGCGTTAAGCCCAGAGCTTTGGCATTTTCCTTGGAAATCCATTTGTCAGATCAATTTTGGGTATGGTTAGCATCAGGCATTTTTCTGTAATCCCTTAGTTCAACATGAGAAGTGGAAGGGGTGGCAGGGAGGAAGCACACTGTATACCATCTGGTAAAACTATTCCGACTCTGTGTGAAAACTATCTTAATATGATAGCTAGAATACCTGGTTCTAGTTTGTTCCAAAGGATTGATTGTTTTAATGAAAGAGAGTATCAAGAGTATAAAGTGTACCTCTCATTTAATTAGCAGATTATAAAAATTTCTACAAACAGGACAAAACATCTTTTAAAATGTCATGAATCAATGTGCAGATGTTCTGATCTGTGGCTTCTCATTTGGGTTTCTTAAACAGAATTCCATCCGGGAGTTCCATGGAAAGGACTACAGAATATTGACCCTGAGAATGACCCTGACGTCACTCCTGGCAGTGTCCCCACTGGGCCTACCATCAATACCACCATCCAGGATGTCAACCGCTACCTCCTCAAGAGTGGAGGTGAGGGTGCTGCTCTGCCTGCCTCTGCGCAGACGGTCTCTCTAGACCCATTTGGAGATGTCAGGGGTGACAGGTTGGGCTCTGAGGCAGGGATGATACAAGGCACAGTTGAAGCAGTCATCTGAAGCAGCATGAAGAGACGGCAGTTAGTGCTTATGGGAAAATGGACATCAATTTGAGTTTCTGCTGGAATTTTTTTTTTTTTTTTGAGATGAAGTCTCACTCTGTCGCCCAGGCTGGAGTGCAGTGGCACGATCTCAGCTCTCTGCAACCTCCACCTCCTGAGTTCAAGCGACTCTCCTGCCTCAGCCTCCCAAGTAGCTGGAATTACAGGCATGTGCCACCATACCAGGCTGATTTTTGTATTTTTAGTAGAGACAGGGTTTCACCATGTTGGCCAGGCTGGTCTCGAACTCCTGACCTCAGGTGTGACCCATGCTGCTGGATTTATTGATAAGTAATGTCTTATCATAAAAGTGCCATCTCTGACAAAGTTTTATCACAGCATGCTATTTTGTGGAAGAAAGAGCTAGATTGCCATAGGTACTACCACTAATAAGGCCACCTAGGTAGCTCCCAAAACATTAAGTTTCCCACTTGAAATATGACTCATTGGAGCCTTGTGTTTTGTGTTTGCTTCTTTTCTTTCTTTTTTTTTTTTTTTTTGAGACAGATTCTTGCTCGTTTGCCCAGGCTGGAGTATAGTAGCGTGATCTTGGCTCACTGCAACCTCCGCCCGCCTCCCAGGCTCAAGTGATTCTCATGCCTCAGCCTCCCGAGTAGCTGGGACTACAGTGTGCACCACCACACCCAGCTAATTTTTTCTATTTTTAGTAGAGACGGTGTTTCACCATGTTGGCTAGGCTGATCTCGAACTCCTGACCTCAAGTGATCCACCTGACTTGGCCTCCCAAAAGTACTAGGATTACAGGCGTGAGCCAGTGTATCTGACTGCTTCTGTGGTTCTTTAAAGTGATAGGCTTCTCAATGTATCTTTGACTGGAAGGCCAACATGAGTACAGATTGCCCTGTCTGTTTAATGCTGTGTATTCCTTGGGGTTACACAGCTGCTTTTCGGATGCAGCTGCTTTTCAGAGCAGGGGTGTTATGGGTGTCCCTGCTGTCAGACACAGTCAAGTGGTGCCCAAAAGGGAGCCGTGTGGCAGAGGACAGGTGAGGCGCCAGCCAGAATCAGAGACCCAGCCCTCCCTGCTTGTCATACCTGGTGGGGCACCAGGGTTGTGCCAGACAGGAAAGTTATATTTTGAGGGTTGTGGAGAAGTGGGATGCAGGTTGTACAGATCCAGGTCATAAGGGAAGTTGGAAAGAATCGAAGTTGCTTAATACATGGCAGAGCTCCCTGAGTGGTGCCCAGATGAAGGATCAAGTGGCCCCTTAGCCTCCAGGCAGAACCAGGGCCACTGGGAGTGGCCTCCGCCATCGCCTGAGTGTACCATGATGTGATGAAGATGGCCTGAGAAACACGTGGCAGCTGTTCTCCAGCTCCACATGCAGCTGTCCTCCAGCTCCATAGCCTGTCCAGTTAAGGAAATCAACTTGCGGGGAGGGCAGAAGAGAACCTCAGCCTAAGAAATGCATTGGCCATTGAGATAAGGCAAGGCAGTGGCATCTCCAACCCTGAGCCTAAGAACCAGCCAGCCAGCCAACCTGGGTGACTTGTAGCTCCAAGTGAACATCGTTTGACTTCCCGGGTGCTTGATGTTTGGGTCTTGAGCCTGCCCTGGCACTTGTGCACAAACATCAGTATTCAGCAGCAGCCAGCTCAGGTGGCTCATGCCAGGCCTCCCCTTCAGCTCATGACCAGCACTAGGAACCTTGTTCCTCCACTCTGGTACCTCTCTTGGTTGTATTTAAGGATACATTAGGGTTTGTTACTGAAAGAAAGGGTAGTACAATGAACATCTCTTCACGTAGAAGTTGCTAACCAGAAAGCACTAGCAGGCTGAGCACAGTGGCTCACACCTGTAATCCCAGCACTTTGGGAGGCCAAGGTGGGAGAATCACTTGAGGCCAGGAATTTGAAACCAGCTGGGCAATATAATGAGACCCTATCTCTACAAAAAATTTAAAATGAAAACATTAGCTGGGTGTAGTGGCACACATCGGTGGTTCCAGCTACTCAGGAGGCTGAGACAGGAGAATCACTTGAGCTTGGGATGTCAGGACTGCAGTGAGCTGTGATTGGGCCACTGCACTCTAGCCTGGGTGACACAGCAAGACTTCGTCTCAAAAAAAAAAAAAAAAGAAAAGAAAAGGCCTCCCAAAGTGCTGGGATTACATGCCTGAGCCACTGCGCCTGGTCAAGCTGACACCTTTTTAAAGTAAAGACCTTCCTGAGCAAATTAACACAGGAACAGAAAACAGACAGCCTGAGTTGACATAACACAAAGAAGGGAGCAGCAGACAGCGGGCCTGTTGGAGGGTAGAGGGTGGGAGGAAGGGGAGGATTGAAAAACTTCCTGTCAGGTACCATGCTCACTATCTAGGTGATGGAATGATCTCTACAACACACCCCCACAACACACAGTCCACCTGTGTGACAGACCCGCACGTGTACTCCCAGAACCCAAAATAAAAATTGGAAAAAATAAAAGTGAAGACCTGCAGATTACCCATAAATGCTAACTTTCCTCAACTCTGGTGCCCTCATTCTAAAGAGGTCACTTGCAGCAGGGCAGCTGCAAACAACTGTGCAGGTTGGACACTGCATGTGTCCAGGAAGTGCCACACGCCTGGTTATTCACTGCACAACGTCATGTGGGCCTACAGCTGAGATGCCATGGCTTTTCAGAAACCATCCGATTCTGTGTGTGGTCATCAGTTTAACAGCCAGACTGTGCTTATGTTCCCTCTGCTAGCCAGGATCCATGCCCTGCAGAGTTATTGTCCCAATGAGAGCTCTTTCCATTCTGCATTCACCCCAGCTGTCACCGTTACTCCGTCCTCACTCTTCTCCAGCTTCTTGCTTTCTTCACAGAATTGAAAGGGAGAGCCACATTAGAAAATACAAAATAAAACCAAGCAGCGAGGAGCTGAGCTTTCACACAAGGGATCGAGGTGCCTAAAGGATGGCCCATTTACCCCAAGTCTCCCTTTCAGGCACAGGGACGAGCTTTCCTCAAAAAACTACAGTCCTAGGGATAGAATAACTCAAGTCCATATACACAGTTATTAGGACAGATGTCTTTTAATTATTCATGTATTTAAAAAGGGAATCATGAGCCGGGTGTGGTGGCATCTGTGATCCCTGCCGCTCAGGAGGCTGAGGCAAGAGGATCACCCAGCCCAGGAGGTTGAGGCTGCTGTGCACTGTGATCACGCCTGTGAACAGCCACTGTGCTGCAGTGTGGGTGACATAGCAACTGTGCTGCAGTGTGGGTGACATAGCAACAGCCCCATCTCTAAAAAAAAAATTTTTTTTTAAGCAAAATACGAGTTCGGAAGCTGATGGGACACCCCAGTCAGAAGAAATGTTCAAATTTTTATGGCACATTTTGTAATGAATGGCTTGGAGTTTTGTTCTTCTATTTTGTAGCCATTGTTTGAACTGTGAAAGGAGTAGATTGCCCTGGATTTTTATTTTATCTTATTTGGGAGAGGAAATCAATGTGGTGCTTTAAAACTCTGACATGGCATTTTAAGCATTCTGGCGGGAATTCTCAAAGAAGCTCATGCTGCTTCTTGCCCTTTGATTCCTCCGCCTTCAGCAACATCCCAGGCCTCCCTGAGTGGCTACAGGGACCCAGAATAGGAGGCATGCCCTGTTTCTTCCTTCCCACATGACACTTTCATGTTCAGGCTTCTATTAAAAATGGCAGCCTAGGGAGAGGTTGATTCTTGATGGTTAAGATTCTCACACCCCGCAGTTAGAGTCACGAACCCGGACACCGCCACCACCTTGCTCAGTGCCGTGTTTGGTTCTGCAGGGTCCTCCCCGCCATCATCTCAGAATGCCACGCTGCCTTCCTCGAGTGCCTGGCCGCTCAGTGCCTCCGGCTACAGTAGCTCTTTCAGCAGCATTGCATCCGCACCTAGCGTTGCAGGTACGCGCCTAGCCTCTAGACTTGCAGGTAGCATTTTCTTTCTTTCCCCAAACAAAACTTTGACAGGCCCCAGCTTTTCCTATTGGCTCTTCACTCACTCCCTGAGCTGGGAGGCCGTGTGGCATGATAGAGGATGGGTGGGGGCCTTGCCCAGGCACAGTGGGCACCTTGGGCACATCAGCTTGCACACACATGGAAGTGGTGACATCTTCTCCATACAAGTGTGTGGGCCCATTGCCTTTTCTCTTCCTTTCCCCCATGGCCACAAGACAAGGGGTATGCAAGGTTTTGAAAACTTAGAGGCAAAACACTTCTGGGAATTTGCAGTTACTTGAGTTTGCCAGGGGCTTGACTTGGTGTTTCTTTGCCTATTACACAGTCTGCTGGTGTTAGAGAGCACTCTGTGTGGCTCCCCAAACACAGCAGTGTTTGTCTCAAGACTGCGTATTCTCCATCTCTCTGCCTTTCTAGGTAAACTGTCAGACATTAAATCGACGTGGTCCTCTGGCCCTGCCTCCCACACGCAAGCCTCTCTGTCTCATGAACTGTGGAAGGTGCCCAGAAACACTACTGCACCCACGAGGCCACCTCCAGGGTTAACCAATCCCAAGCCCTCCTCCACCTGGGGTGCCAGCCCCCTCGGCTGGACCAGCTCCTACTCCTCAGGTAAGCTTCATGCTCCTCGTGTTCCAATGGGGGCCTTACCTTTTCGGGGATGTGCTTATCACTTCGTCCTGTACCTCCTTTGTAAGGACCCCTGCCTCTAACTCTGGAGCCTGGGAGGGCTTAGGAAGGCACCAGGACCACCCTAGATGTCCAGGGCATTAGCTGGGTGAGCCTGGTGTTTTTAGCATCAGCCTAGGTGTGCCAGCACACAGCAGGTTTGCTCTGGGCCAAGAGGTCCCAGGCGGTTCCAGCACCCATTGAGGGCCCACGCTGGCCACCTCCATCCTCAGGAGTGCAGCTGCCCCGCACTGGGTCATTAGAGGCCCGCACAGTCCTTTAGGCTGTCTGCCCCCATGAACCCCCATCGCACAGGGATCTGGATTTCTGCTTTTTATATTTGCTTCTCCACAAGATGTCACTGAGACATAAGGCTTTTCCAGACCCAAAACGAAACAAACCCCACCAGTTTGAAAACACAACTCTCATAATATTGCAGCTTCTCTCAGGTGCTTCATGTCGAACCTCAGAGATGAGAAAAATGTACTGGGAATTGAAGAAACTGAAGACTTAAACCAATGTGGGCAACAAAGCGAGACCCCATCTCCACAAAAGAATAAAAAAATAAGTGGGGCGTAGTGGCACATACCTGTGATCCCAACTGCTGGGGAGGCTGAGATGGGAGAACAACTCAAGCCCAGGAGATTGAGGCTACAGTGAGCTATGCTTGAGCCACTGCACTCCAGCCTGGGTGACAGAGTGAGACCCTGTCTCTAAAAAAATAATAGTAATAAATAACAAAATGTTTAAAATCAGCCGCAGATAGTGTATTCGTCCATTTTCACACTCCTGATGAAGACATACCCGAGACCGGGCAATTTACAAAAGAAAGAGGTTTATTAGACTTACAGTTCCACGGGACTGGGGAGGGCTCACATTCCTGGCAGAAGGTGAAAGGCATGTCTCACATGGTTGCAGACAAGGAGAGAGAGAGAGCTTGTGCAGGGAAACTCCCATTTAACATCAGATCTCATGAGACTTATTCACTATCATGAAAACAGTATGGAAAAGACCTTCCCCCATAATTCAGTTACCTCCCACTGGGCTCCTTCCACGAAACATGGGAATTGTGGGAGTTACAATTCAAGATGAGATTTGGGTAGGGACACAGCCACACCATATCATTCTGCCTCTGACCCCTCCCAAATCTCATGTCCTCACGTTTCAAAACCAATTATGCCTTCCCAGCAGTTCCCCAAAGTCTTCATTTCAGCATTAACTCAGAAGTCCACAGTCCAAAGTCTGTCTGAGATAAGGCAAGTCCCTTCCACCTACAAGCCTGTAAAATCAAAAGCAAGTTAGTTACTTCCTAGATACAATGGGGGTACAGGCATTGGGTAAATACAGTCATTCCAAATGGGAGAAATAGGCCAAAACAAAGGGGCTACAGATCCCATGCAAGACTGAAATCCAGCAGGACAGTCAAATCTTAAAGCTCCAAAATGATCTTCTTTGACTCCATGTCTCACATCTGGGTCATGCTTAGGCAAGAGGTTGGTTGCCATGGTATTGGGCAGCTCTTCAGGGTACAGCCTCCCTCTTGGCTGCCTTCACGTGCTGGTATTGAGTGTCTGCGGCTTTTCCAGGCACACGGTGCAAGCTGTCAGTGGATCTACCATTCTGGGGTCTAGAGGACGGTGACCTTCTTCTCACAGCTCTACTAGGTGGTGCCCCAGCAGGGACTTTGTGTGGGGGCTCCACCCCCACATTTCCCTTCCACACTGCCCTAGCAGAGGTTCTCCATGAGAGCCCTGCCCCTGCAGCAAACTATCGTCTGAACATCCAGGCATTTCCATGCATCCTCCGAAATCTAGGTGGAGGTTCCCAAACCTCAGTTCTTCACTTCTGTGCACCCAGAGTCTCAACACCATGTGGAAGCTGCCAAGGCTTGGAGATTGCACCCTCTGAAGCCATGGCCCAGGCTGTACCTTGGCCCCTTTTAGTCACAGCCAGAGCAGGTGGGACACAGGGCACCAAATTCTTAAACTGCACACAGCGTGTGGACCCTGGGCCTGGCCTATGAAGCCATTTTTTCCTTGTAGGCCTCTGAGCCTGTGCTGGGAGGGGCTTCTATGAAGACCTCTTACATGCTCTAGAGACAGTCTCCATTTTCCCCATTGTCTTGGGGATTAACTTGCAGCTCCTCGTTACTTAGGCAAATTTCTGCACCCTGCTTGAATTTTTCCTCAGAAAATGGGATTTCCTTTTTTTTTTTTTTTGAGATAGAGTTTCACTCTTGTCACCCAGGCTGGAGTACAATGGCGTGATCTCGGCACACTGCCACCTCTGCCTCCCAGGTTCAAGCAATTCTCCTGCCTCAGCCTCCTGAGTAGCTGGGATTACAGGTGCCCACCATGCCTAGCTAATTTTTGTATTTTTAGTAGAGATGGGGTTTCACCATGTTGGCCAGGCTGGTCTCAAACTACTGACCTCAGGTAATCCACCCATCTCAGCCTCCCAAATGCTGGGATTACAGGCGTGAGCCACCGTACCCAGACAATTTTCTGAACTTTTATGTTCCGCTTCCCTTATAAAACTGAATGCTTTTAAGAGCACCCAAGTCACCTCTTGAATGCTTTGCTGCTTAGAAATTTCTTCTGCCAGATACCCTAAATCATCTCTCTCAAGTTGAAGGTTCCACAAATCTCTAGGGCACCAGTCTCTTTGCTAAAATGACAAGAGCCACCTTTGCTCCAGTTCCCAAAAAGTTCCTCATTGTCATCTGAGACCACTTCAGCCTGGACATTATTGTCCATATCCCTATCAGCACTTTTGTCAAAGCCATTTCACAAGTCTCTAGGAAGTTACAAACTTTCCCACATTTTCCCATCTTTTTCTGAGGCTTGAGTTCCAACCTCTGCCTGTTACCCAGTTCCAAAGTTGCTTCTGTGCAGAGACCAGCTTGACTGGGGAGACCCTAACCCAGCGGTGCTAGAGGAATTAAAGACACAGAAATATAGAGGTGTGACGTGGGATATCAGGGCTCTCACAGTCTTCAGAGCTGAGAGCCCTGAACAGAGATTTACCCACATATTCATTAACAGCAAGTCAGTCATTAGCATTGTTTTTATAGATACTAGATTAACTAAAAGTATCCCTTATGGGAAAGGAAGGGATGGGCCGAAATAAAGGGATGAGTTGGGCTAGTTATTTGCAGCAGGAGCACGTCCTTAAGGCACAGATCGCTCATGCTATTGTTCGTGGCTTAAGAATATCTTCAAGCAGTTTTCCGCCCTGGATGGGCCAGGTGTTCCTTGCCCTCATTCTGGTAAACCCACAGCCTTCCAGCATGGGCTTTATGGCCATCATGAACGTGTCACAGTGCTGCAGAGATTTTGTTTATGGCCAGTTTTGGGCCAGTTTAATGGCCAGATTTGGGGCGGGGGGAGCTGTTCCCAACATGTTCCCCTTCTTTGATTTGCAAAGCAATAAAAGCAAAGACAGCTTTGTCACGGTGAGCTACTTGTTGCAGGAGTCAGGATCCGCATCTGCAGACTGTACAAAGACAACACAGATTAAAAGCACAATCATCGTTGAAATCACAGTGCTTCCAAGTGTTTTTATCCATTTTAATGGGTTACTAGCTGCTAATCTGTCTGCAGCTCCTTCTAGCACTCCAGTTCCTGGCATTAAGGTCAGGTGCGCCTGGGATGCTTTAAATGTTTGTTCTTTTAATTTTGCAATATCCAAAAACAAGTTTGTAGAGTGTCCCTCTAGATGCTTTTTTGGTCTTTCCCAAATTTTGATCTTATTAAGAGCTATTAATAGTTTCCACAAATCCTTATGTTTAGCTCCTACAACGGGCCATATCATTTGAGGTTGAGGTGCCACTATACCGCCATGGTTCCAGATAATGGGAACTTTTGCCATACTTCTTATCATTTCTACCCTCTGACCATTTTGTTCAGATCAGCTGAACATAGTGTGGCCAAGGCACACAGACTGAGAGGTGCAGTTCAAGCTAAACATCCCCTTGGGGGACCAGTGAATAATGATTCCATAGGAATTGATGTGCAGCACCTCTGCCTGTTCTGCATATCCCTGTCAGCTTTTTTGTCAAAGCCATTTCACAAGTCTCTAGGAAGTTCCAAACTGTCCCACATTTTCCCATCTTTTTCTGAGCCTTGAGTTCCAACCTCTGCCTGTTACCCAGTTCCAAAGTTGCTTCCACATTTTCAGGTATCTTTTCAGCAGCACCCCACTCTACTGGTACCAGTTTACTTTATTAGTCCATTTTCATGCTGCTGGTAAAGACATACCCAAGATGAGGCAATTTACAAAAGAAAGAGGTTTATTGGACTTACAACTCCACGTGGCTGGGGAGGCCTCATAGTCATGGCAGAAGGTGAAAGGCACATCTCACATGGTGGCAGACAAGAGAGCTTGTACAGAGAAACTCCAGTTGTTTAAACCGTCAGATCTTGTGAGACTATCACGAGAACAGCACAGGAAAGACGTGCCCCCATGATTCAATTACCTCCTACCACGTTCCTCCCACAAAACATGGGAATCATGGGAGTTACGATTCAAGATGAGATTTGAATGGGGACACAGCCAGACCATATCAGATAGTTTGAAAGTAATAGTTTCTGCCTTTTAGCAGCAGTCTTTAGGGATTTGCTCTGTTGTATTAACCAGAAGAACCTGGGAGCACTGATTCCACACCAGGTCTGGGGACAGGCAGAGGTGGAGACCAGAGCTTTCCTGGAGATTGTCAGGCCTCTCACCCCCGTCTCTCCTGGCACAGATGGGAAAACACGGGTCTCCGGGGCTGGCGGGAAGATCCAAGAAGTCAGAGTCACCACGGGGAAGTGGGAAGGGGGTCTGCAGGAACTGTGAGGTTTTGGTTTACGAAAGAAATTATGGACCTCCCAGGCTGAGAAAGGCTGTCCTAGATCATGTGGTGATGGTCCGTGATGGCCCGTGCTGTCCCACACTTCAGCACGGTAAGAGGTGGGGAGGCCGCACTATCCACTGGCACCGGGGCCTTGTCAACCGGGTTCTCCCCTCTTGTTGCAGGTTCTGCCTGGAGCACCGACGCCTCAGGAAGAACCAGCAGCTGGCTCGTTCTTCGAAACCTCACTCCCCAGGTGCAGTACGGTGCCCCTGTGTCGCTGAGCATGATCCAAGGAGGGTTCCCTCTTGGCCCCCGATGCAGATGAGGCTGTCTGGTGGGGCGGGATAGTCGGGGGTTCTTGGTCAGGGTCCAGAGGTGATGCTGCACGGGAGGAGATGAGCAAGTGCCAGGCTTGGCTCCAGCAGCAGCAGCAGATGGGGTCCAGGGGTCTCTTTTAACCATGTTCTTGGTGAATTGTTTGTTTACCCACTAGAGGCTGGAAAAGTGTGCTCTGTAAATAGAATTGTTTATCTTACAACTACCCATTCAAGAGTGGTTGGGCCTGGCCAGTCGCAGTAGCTCACGCCTGTAATCCCAGCACTTTGGGAGGTCGAGGCCAGGGATCACCTGAGCCCAAGATTTGGAGACCAGGCTGGGCAACATAGCAAGACCCCATGTGTGTATTTTTATAACATTTTTTAAAAGAGTGGTTTGGCCACGTCAGACTGTGGGGCTAGCCAGTCCCTTCTTGGGACCCAGGCCACACCCACCTACACATCTCCCAAGTCTGTTGTCAGCAGCTAGACCCAGGTGCCTTTTGCAAACCAGGGGCTCTGTGTGATGTGCTCTGGTGAAAGGAGAGCTGAACTCAAAGTGGGGTTTTTCTCCTTCCTCTGATTAGCCTAACTCATAAAATATAACTGAAACATCCAAGATTTTAGTTACACGTTTGGCCACAGAGATACAGAATGTGAACATTGTAAAATCACATATTATTAAAGCCTTTTAAAGAAAAACATTTTCCTAGTGTTTAGTGTATCCAGTTTCATGTTTTTTCTTTGGAAGGCTGTAGTGAAAGAAATCAGAAGAAAGCTCATTCATGCCCCTGTGCTTCCTCTGTCAGATTGATGGTTCTACACTGCGGACATTGTGTTTGCAACATGGGCCTCTCATCACATTCCACCTGAATCTGACTCAAGGCAATGCCGTGGTCCGGTATAGCTCCAAGGAGGAGGCTGCCAAGGCCCAGAAGTCTCTGCACATGTATGTTTCCTCACAGCCACCTCAGCGCTCCAAGTAGCTCCACATCCCCCAGAGCATTAGGTTAGGGGTGTTGCAGGGGGGTCCTGAGCCGCCATAGCAGCATCCCACAGGCTGGCCACCCTCCCGCTTCTGGAGGCCGGAGGTCTGACACCCAAGATGAAGGTGTGGGCAGGGCTGGTTTCTCCTGAGGCCTCTCTCCTTGGCTATAGACAGCTGCCCTCTCCCTCTGTTCTTACATGGTCGTCTCTTTGTGCATGTTGGTGCCCTGATATAAGGACACCAGTCATGTTGGACTAGGGCCCACCCATGTGACCTCATCTAACTAACTTAATTACCTCTTTAAAGACCCCATCTCCAAACACAGTTACATGGGGAGGTACTGGGGGTTAGGACTTCAGCAAAAGAATTGGGGGAAGGCGACACAGGTCAGTTCCTCACAGGTATCTTGAGACTTATTGTTTTTTTCTGCTGCTGAGTTGCTGTGTCTACTCCCCTCTGCCTGTGACACATTCCTACACAGGGCCCAGCAGCGGTCCTCACAGCCAACCCTTCACCCTGACGAAAGGTTGCTTTTGATAGAAGTATAAGTAGACCTGATCAGTAACATCACTTGAGACATGGAACCTAGAAATTAGTCATTCCTGTTTTTAGCCCAGGATGCAAATGACAGTGACCCTAAATGAGCCCACATTTAATGGTGTGTTCATGCACTTGAAGATGTACTCTCTGTACCAGTACGGTGTTGCTGCTAGAAGTCTGAACTGAGCAAAACCTTCACAGTCTGGGTTTGGAAATAGCAGTGGCAAAACAGAAGCCACACGATGGCTTCCAGGTAGCCTTTCCCAATACAAAGACAGAAAGCCGGTGCCACGAACTTAGCAGGACTTGGGGTGGCCCTGCTCACGTGCCCCATCTTGCTGTTGCAGGTGCGTCCTGGGAAACACTACCATCCTGGCTGAGTTCGCTGGCGAAGAAGAAGTGAATCGCTTCTTAGCCCAAGGCCAGGCGCTGCCACCCACCTCCAGCTGGCAGTCCAGTAGCGCGTCCAGCCAGCCGCGGCTCAGCGCAGCGGGCAGCTCCCATGGCCTGGTGCGCAGCGACGCTGGCCACTGGAATGCCCCATGCCTGGGTGGCAAGGGGAGCAGTGAGCTGCTGTGGGGCGGGGTGCCCCAGTACTCCAGCAGCCTGTGGGGCCCGCCCAGCGCTGACGATAGCAGGGTGATCGGCAGCCCCACCCCTCTGACCACCCTGCTGCCTGGGGACCTGCTCAGCGGGGAGTCCCTGTAGGAGCTGCCATCATCAGCACCAGGAGAGCCGACCCTTCCCGGGACCCCTCCCAGATGGGCGGCCCCACAGACCCGCTGGAACCCAGCAGCGGCCACCCTTTTGAGTACCTCTGTCCAGGACTGAAGACGAACCTTGGCCACAGTCCTTGCGAACTGTTCGCAAAACAGTGCGGGCTGCGGTGGGTCAGCGTCACATGCTAATGACAGGATGTTCCTCGTAGCTTTTTATTTTGTGTGTCTTATGTTTGTATAGTGTGTTGTCATTTTGATTTTTTTTTTTTAAAGTATAAAAGCTGCTTAGAATAGTTCTATCATGAAGGGCACTTTTCAGATTGTGGGCTGGAAAGGGTTATTTTATCTGTGGGGGAGGGAGGGAGACGTGAAGCCTATTTAAAATGAGCCTGTGACGATTATGCACATTACCAGAGGCGGCCGGTAATCAGGGCAGAGTCTGGTGTGGACCGCCGGGCGCAGAGCGGCTCCACGGTAGGAGCTGAGCGGAAGGCGTGGGCTGCGATCTGCTCTCTGTTCCCCTGGATCCGCCTATGCACATTACCCTTGTTTCATTACTTTTTCATGTCATTTTTTTATCCCAAAAAATATTTTTTAAAAGTTAAAAAAAGACATATCAAACATGCAAATACTTGAATCCAGCAGGCCAATAGTGAAATGTGAACACTTTCTAATTCTACACTTCCAGGTTGACATCAGTGCACAGAAACAGGCTCTAGGAAAAATTTCTAAGTTCATAGCCTCCATGTGTGTGAATGTGTGCGTGTTGAAACAGAAGTGTGTGTGTGTGCGTGTGTGGCGCGTGCTCCTGCACAGCGTGCATTTTCTGTGTTTGTGTGTTTGAAAGCGTGTGAGGATTTAACCGTGGGTTTTCCCTTGTATTCAGTATATGCTTTTTTTTTTGGCGCATTGGTCAAACGTTTGTTATTATTAGCTTCTAACTTTGCACTGAGTGTCCTCGCCCTTCCTTTAGCTAATCCTATACATTACAGAGAATTCCTAGGACAGGGCTGGCGACAATTCATGTGTAAATGTTTACTCAAGGACTCTGTGACTGCGTTTAAAAAGTACAGTGTATATCTCTGGAGAAATAATATGTATACCTACCTTTAGCAGCTTTTTATTGTGGACTAATGCAAGAAAATTATTACCAGAGTATTGCACCATTTTTCCATTTGGAATATAAAGTTAAAGAGAAAAAAAAAACTGTTGTTGAACTGTGGCCATAGATACTTGTAAAGAATGGATGGTTCCGTGGAAGGAACAGAAACAAGCACTTGGGCGTGGGTTGTGACTGCTTTTGGGGGAGCCTGGGGTTTGGGCTCCCACCTGTTTACAGACCTTTTTTTCTCCTTCAGACTTTAAAATTTTAAAAATTTAAAAAGGAATTAAAAAAAAAAAAAAGACTTCCGTCGTAAAGAAACCTATTTTCAGAATGCAGATGCGCTCCTTCAGAGCTCTGGGACGGGACGGCGTTGTTCCCTCGGCCATCGTCGTGGACTCTGTCGATTGCTTTCGCCCCTTCGTCAAGGTGACAGGCGTTGTGGCCACTGTCTTGCACATGCCGGACGCGCTCTCAGGAAAGCCAGGGCTCCCGAGGGCAGCTCCACACCATTTCATGTATTTTTAAACCCAACTCCTAGCACTGAAGATGTTATTTAAAAAAAAAAAAAAAACCAACAAAAAAATGAAAAAAAAGAAAAAGAGGAAAAAAAAATCACAAAGAAGAAAAATACCTAATCTCTAATGTGTAGCAGTTACATATTTACCAAATAATGGACTCAAAAGAAATAGATGTTTGAAGAGTGCTTTATATATTAAAAATTGCTTTATGTTTTAAAAATGATCAATGTTTTGATTGTTTTGCAAGGAAGAAAGACAATGGAATAACATACCCTCAAGTATGTTTTAAAATATATATATATGAACATTGTGCTCCCTGCCTGCTTGATCAGGAAACTTGTGCATTACATTTTTTTTAATTAGCTTTTTAATGGTTTTATCAAAACAAAAAAAAATACAAAAAAAAAAAGTCCTGCAAGATTGCAGATCCACAAAAGCTGGTTTTATAGAGGATCATGAACTATGCACAAACTGGGTTCAAGACTTTTTTTCTCAAGTTTAGTAGGATATTTAGCAAAACCAACCTTCCTCAGAGTGACTGCATCTCATTGCCATTACATGCGTTCTATATATTTGATGGACATACACACCTGCGTATGTATATCCAATATGTGTGCGTGTGAGCGTGCGTGTGCGTTATGTGCACCCGACATACCACTTCCCGTGCTGCCGGCGAGCATTGAGTTGTAGAAAAACTCCTGTTGTTTTAAAATTGGGGATGGAAGTCAAGAATATGTTTGTTTGTTTTTGGGTTTTGTTGGGTTTGTTTGAGGTTTTTTTTGTTTTTTTGTTTGTTTTGTTTTGGGGTTTTTTGACCTTTTATTTTGAACTTAGTATGTCTGTAACTCTGAGATTAAAAAACAAGTTTGTGGCTCTTAATGTTTTCCTCATAGAATGTGATTGTTGAAGAACATGCATCGAAAGTTGCTTTCGAAAGTACAACGCTTTATTGAATCTTAATAAATTGCAATTTTTTTTCTTGGCTGTTCAAAGTAATGTGTTTTTCATTTTTCAAAACAGATACTATGGATGTCTACTTTGCAGCTGCGATGGGGAGAGCTGTCCCGCTGCGTGCGTTCCCTCTATAATTTCCTCAGAGCTCACATACGTACCTCTCTCATGAGTGAACTCAGACTTCCTGTTGTTTTGCTTTATTCTCTCATTTGCTTTGTGGTTTTGCTGTAAATATTGAAATCTTAATCGTTGAGAGGCACAACCGAGCTTTCTAGCTCTCCACCCCCGCAGCCCATCCGAGTCTGTTCATCTGGTAACTTCTGTTTGGGATGGCAGCAAGCAGAGGCTGGGGCCTGCCTGCAGTCCTGGCAGAGGAGTGCCACTCACTTTTGCCTAGGGTCCAGTTTGGGCTTAAAAAATATTCAAAGAGAATAATGAGGATTTTTTGTGTTTCCTAGACATTTTATGCATTTATTTTTGTGAAATCACCTTCGCTAACTTTCACCGAGCACTTTGAGCACAGTGGAACTTCGGAAGCAGCACCAGCCTCACCCCAGAATCTCAGCTGGCATAGCTAGAAACTGAGTCCCTTCCTAGGACACTGGCCGTGGCCTTCAGGGTGTCCAGTGCCACCAGTGTGGCATTGGTGTTGCAGACCAGCCTCTGAAGACAAACCGAGCACCCCGGCGGCCCCTCACTCAAACTAAGCAAAGGTCTTTTTTCTGTCTCCACTCCCTGGGGAAAGGTCAAAGGTGGACCTGCCCACTTTGAGTCAATTCCTTCAAAAAGATGGGACCCGCACCGTGCCACAGGCTGCCCCCTCTCCACCATGGGGAAGGCGGGGTACTGCTGGCTCTGACCATCCTCTTTTGGAAATTGAGAAGGAAAGCATTGAGTGGGACCTAATCTGGAAAAGAAATTAAAGACCAGAAAAGGAAGCCGGGAATGAAACTCAAGATGCACCTGAACCTGGAAGCGGCAACCGTCGGCTCTGCGCGGAGCCTCAGCAAGAGTTCCTTTTGTGCCTGCGTTACGATGGAGCAAACCGTACCCATGCCTGTGCGCTGGGAGAACAAGGTCAGCGCCCAAGGGCGTGCAAAGGATGTGGCAGGCTTCATGGAGGAGGTGGCATCTGCCCTGGGCCTGGGAGACCAGGTTGGATTTTGACAGACTGGCAACTCGGGGGACAGATGGGGAGCACAGTGTAAGCTAAAGCCCCATGTAGGGACCCCAAAGACCTTGTGGGCTTCCAGGGCACCATCTCCACCCATGGGTGGGAAGGAGGCTTGAAGAAAACAGGTTCTTCACCTGCATCTGTGGATATTTTTTTTTAAGTTTATTAATTTTTTTTTTTTTTTAATGACAGGTTCAGACCTGCCCTTTGTGGTTTGTGTATTTGTTTAATACAGGGTCTCTGTCTCCCAGGCTGGAGTGCAGTGATGTAATCTCAGCTCACTGCAACCTTGACCTCAAGCAATCTTCCCACCTCAGCCTCCCAAGTAGCTGGGACCACAAGCATGCATGCACCACCTACACTCAGCTCATTTCATTTTTTATTTTTGTAGAGATGGGGTTTCACCGTGTTGCCCAGGCTGGTCTCGAACTGCTGGGAATACAGGCATGAGCCACTGTGCCCAGCCTCCTTTTTTTTTTTTTTTAACTATTTTGGCAACATCACGGCAGAACGCCAAAGGCAGAAAGCAGGGTGCCCAGCGGCTAGCAGTGTGGCATGCCAAGAAGGCTGTTCCAATGGGGGAGAAGCCAGCAGACGCAGAGGCGTTATGGTGTGCCTCGACTGAGTGTGTGTTCAGTGAAGAGGGAAAACGGAGACAGTGGGGCATCCCAAGAAGATCCTCTGCAGGAGTGCGGTGTCTACGGATGGACCAAGAAAACCTACGCAGGATCCAGATGGAAACAAAGCTGCTTAGCTCTGCACATCAGTGTTCAGCGGAGTTGTGGCTGATGGGCTTCTAGTGCAGGACTGGCCCCCGAACAGCAGCAAGTGTAGTATGCCTGGCCCCCAGGTCGTCATGAAAACCAGACGCAGACACTCGGGAGGCTGAGGCGGGAGGATCATCTGAGCCCAGGAGGTCGAGGCTGCAGTGAGCTGTGATCGTGCCACTGTACTCCAGGATGGGCAACAGAGTGAGCACCCATCTCAAAAAAGCAGAAGCACATTTCCGAAGCCCCCCAAGCCCACGGGCATTTGTGACAACCTGGTACTTGGATAGGCCCAAACCAGGGGTTCTCAGCCTTGGCTCATATTAGAATTACCTGAAAGTTTTTAAGATAATTCACATCATGCCAGGCACGGTGGCTCACACCTGTAATCCCAGCACTTTGGGAGGCCAAGGCGGGCAGATCACGAGGTCAGGAGATTGAGACCATCCTGGTAACAAGTGAAACCCCGACTCTACTAAAAATACAAAAAATTAGCCAGGTGTGGTGGCAGGCGCCTGTAGTCCTAGCTACTCGGGAGGCTGAGGCAGGAGAATGGCGTGAACCCGAGAGGCGGAGCTTGCAGTGAGCCAATATCGTACCACTGCAGCCTGGGCGACAGAGCAAGACTGTCTCAAAAAAAAAAAAAAGCCGGGCATGGTGGCACGTGCCTGTAATCCCAGCTACTCAGGAAGCTGAGACAGGAGAATCGCTTGAACCCAGTAGGTGGAGGTTGCGGTGAGCCAAGATTGTCCCATTGCACTCCAGCCTGGGCAACAAGAGTGAAACTCTGTCCCCCCCGGGAAAAAAAAAAAAAAAATCACATCCAAAATTTTAAAGATAATTCACATCCAAATCAACTCAAAAACAGAATCTCTGGGGGTGGGCCTCAGGCACCAGTGTTTGTTTGTTTGTGTTGAGACAGGGTCTTGCTGTTGTCCATGCTGGATTCAAAACACCTGGGCTCAGCAGGTGTAGTGGTTCACACTGTAATCCCAGCACTTCGGGAGGCTGAGGCAGGCAGATCACTTGAGGTCAGGAGATCGAGACCAGCCTGACCATCACGGTAAAACCCCATCCCTCCTAAAAAATACAAAGATCAGCCCCATATGGTGGCATGCGTCTGTAATCCCAGCTACTTGGGAGGCTGAGGCAGTGAGCCAAGATCGTAGAACTGCACTCCAGCCTGGGCAACAGAGCAAGACTCTCAAAAAGCAAATAAACCGAAACTCTTGGGCTCAAGCAATCCTCCACCTCAGCCTCTGGAGCAGCTGCAATTACAGACACACGCCACCACCTCCAGCAAGTACCAACGTTTTTAAAACCTCTTCGGTGGGTTCTGTTGTGCAGCCAAGGCTGAGAAGCAGTGGCATCGCAGAGTCTTGTCATTCAGCCTGAAATAGCACCAACTTCCCATCCACTCAAACAACAGTTTGCAGTTTCCAGGTCTTAGGCTGTTCTCGTCAGGCAAACACCTCAAACGGGTGCCAGGCACGGTACACAGCACACGAACTGTGTCACTTGATACAGCAGCCCCATGAGGCGAGGAGCTGGGAGGTCACGGAACACACCCCAGGGCACCCAAGGACACACGGAAGCCCAGGCCTCCAGCACACAAGGGCTGCTCCGAAGAAACACAGGAAGTCCTCGCTGGAGGGTCTGTGGCCACAAGGTGGGGCCACAAGGTGGGTCGGCAGACAGAACCAACAGGAGAGAGAGGACAGGCTCACCCAGCCGTAGGGCCTCAGGCTGGACATCCAGTGGGAGTGGACACCGCCGTCTCAAGGCAGAATTCCCTCTGTGGGAAACCTGGGTTTCTGCTCTTGAAGCTTTCAGCTGATGCGATGAGGCCCACCCACATTCTCAAGAATGATCTTTAGGTGTAATCAACTGTAGTTGTTCACCACATTCCAGCAGCACACGATCGCAGCAACACCTCGGTTCCTGTTGATGAGATCACTGGGCCCCACAGCCTGGCCTGGTTGACACAAACGACTGACTAGCACACACGGTAATTCTCCAGAAATATCTGGGACAAGTTCTTCCACTTCCCTGCCATAAGCAGCTGGTACTGTGCTTTGTGAGGCTGGCAAGATGGGCTCAACAGGTCACAACCAATGATCATGTTGTCAAGCCAGCAGTGGCAGGCATACGTCCCCAGCCAGAGAGGGACCGTGATGGTTTGGAGGACGGCATCTGCACCGATGGGGGCCGGAAACCCTAGGTCAGTCACTCTGGACCATCAGTCACTTTCTGGACTGCCCACGCAGCTTCACCCAGCAGTGCTCACGCCTGAAGACGCTGCCACCGGCGGCCACCCAGAATCAGCACCAGCTACTTGCTGAGGCCCAGAAGCACCACTTGGCTCAGATCCACCCAGACGGCCAACTCTGTGGGGCCCCGGTGGCAGCACCCAGATGTATGCAGAGCCCAGGAGCATCCCCATGGAACCGGGTGGGCTAGACCCAGTGCGGGGTCTGCTAACAGCCAGTGGCATCTCCACCTGGGTCTGACCCTTTTCTGGGCCCATCACTCTCCGACTGTTTCCCCACCCGGGCTCATTCCCCCAATCCGAAGCGCAGCTCCTCAGACATGAACCCTGGGCCGTGACGGGCTGGTCCCCGCAGACCTGGAGCACTGGGGCTGTGACGGCCTGGTCCCTGCAGGCCTGGAGCACTGGGGCCGTGACGGCCTGGTCCCCGCGGACCTGGAGCACTGGGGCTGTGAGGGGCTGGTCCCCGCAGACCTGGTGCACTGGGGTCGTGACGGCCTGGTCCCCGCGGACCTGGAGCACTGGGGCCGTGACGGCCTGGTCCCCGCGGACCTGGAGCACTGGGGCCGTGACGGCCTGGTCCCCGCGGACCTGGAGCACTGGGGCCGTGACGGCCTGGTCCCCGCGGACCTGGAGCACTGGGGCCGTGACGGCCTGGTCCCCGCGGACCTGGAGCACTGGGGCCGTGACGGCCTGGTCCCCGCGGACCTGGAGCACTGGGGCCGTGACGGCCTGGTCCCCGCGGGCCTGGAGCACTGGGGCCGTGACGGCCTGGTCCCCGCGGGCCTGGAGCACTGGGGCCGTGACGGCCTGGTCCCCGCGGGCCTG